TATTTGATTTTGCCCTGCACTCCTATTATACAAAAGAGCCAGTGTCCCAGATACAAACATTTATAAGTGTATTATTTCTATTGTATTGATTAGATGATTTTATTATGAGGCGTGAAATTCCCATGTTTTGTTGAATGTCTTTTTCTATTAATTAAAAATGTTGAGGCTTAACTGTGGCTTTAATTGATTTAAAATGGGTATATGTTATTTAATACAGTATATCTGTGAAATTTTAAATTTTATTGACAAATTAAATTAATTGCAACTATATTTCAAAATGAACTTAACATACGATGATCAGACAGATCTCCATTTCATTAAACTGCAGTCTACAAACTCTGAATAATCCAGTATTCATATAATTTTTTTTCAAATTGGTATTATTTGTGAAATTTTCCAGTCAAACTGTTATAGCAGTAATTTTCACAAACTGTAAAAGTATTCTGTCTTTTTAATAGCATGTCAAGTTAGGTACTTAATCCTATTGCAGCGATATTTGACTGAAGTTGAACAAGCATACATTACCTTATACTGTGACATTCGACTTCAGTCCTTATCAAGAAATAATCTCCTTTCACTGCATTGTTCAACTTAATTCAGTGGACTATGAAAATGGCACTTTTTTGTGTTTTGTTCTTATTTATATCTTAAAATTGCATTCATTTAGGATAATGGTGGGAAAACATACATAATGAAAGGTTAATGTATGTTTATCTTGTTAAATTTGAGTAGTGGTTACTTGGGCTACCAATAATTTATCAAAAATGTACCTGTTAAATTATGTAAAGTAATGTATTAACTCAATTTTAAAATAATGTATGGTAATCATAAGCTGCAGAAGTTTTTGTAATTAATTTACACATCAAAATGAATTTTTATTTGGTATGGTATTGACTTCTTGAACGTGTGTGTGTGTGTGTGTGTGTGTGTGTAAAAAAATTATATATTACAAAACAAAATATTTAACTTTTTCCTGCCATAAATGTGTAGTGTGATTACATTTCCAGTGAAGTGAATTGTGATGGCTAATTGCTAGAATTGTTAGCATCAGTATTATGCAAGTAACAAGCATATATATACATATGTAATTTAGTCACATTTATTATTCTTAAATTTATGAAACTGCTATTTTGTTACTCTTCAATACAGTTGTCAGTGATATGGAGAATCAGGTATATTTTTTCAACATTTCTTCAAATCATAAGGTTATTTTGCAGAAGAAGGTTGTTTCATGTATGAGCTTTGCTCACATCCCACATTCATGTTAATATTTCTGGATGTGCGCCTCACTAGTGATAACAAGATTTATGGCTGTCACCTGTAACTGTAGCACTGTGGCCTGAAAGAACTGTTACAACCTTTTTATGATCTCTGTATAGAAGTGTACTTATGAAGAGTGTGCACATTCATTTCTTGTTAATGGAAATATAAATGATTGAACAATGTACATTATCACTATGTATAAAATGAGCAGCTCTCACTTTGTTCTCCCTCCTATTATAAAGAGATATCCAGGACCAGTGGGTACATGTACCTCTTGGGGCTAAGAGAATGTGAGGGTGAAGCTGCCATTTATTTCCAAATAGGTCTGAGACTAAAAATGTACACTTTGGATACTATCCTTCCACATGTTCGTGGTGTGGTAACTCTGTATGTATGCTACAGTGCATTAATAACATTCGTTAAGCTTAAATCGGTTCACAATAGAAAAGTTATGATCGTTGTTCATTGAAAATGATATAGCTCATGCCTGGCAGCAATTACATAGGAAATCCCTAAACCCCACTAGGAATTACAGTGCTATCACCAATCCCCACACTTCACAAATCACCACACACACTAAGTCTTCTCAGTCTGCTTTCACTTATTGTTTCATCATAACGAATCTTAACAATGGGGGTTCTTCAGCTTCTGTGGTCATGTCGTTGTGCAGTCGTTAACCCTGCACAGCTGAACTGTCAAATTCATTATAGCACCATCTCTTCTCAGCCTCCCTTGCAAAACTCAACTCTGAACTAGGTGTTGCCTGGTCACAGACTTATAACAAGGGATACTGTTCATGCTCTTATGGCTTACAAACCACACTCCCTAACTGCTGATTCAAGCCTGACTGGGTTTCCCCAGTTGTCTTCCTTGTAGCCCCTCTGCATGGACCAAGTACAGAACACCATTTCCAACAGTAACTCTATTGTTGAGAAGCATGTTTACTGTGCTGTTGCATAGCAACAGCTGTTGTCTCATTTGTTTTGAGGTCTTTGCTTAGCAGTTGGTCTGTATACCACAATATTCTTGCTTTTCTCATTATTATATACACAGTATTTCAACACACAAAACTTATGTCAAGGGATGAATGTAGGAGGTCAAATACTATATCAGTCATATAAAAAAGAGCATTATCTTTTACAGTTCTACAAAATAAAAAATTATTCAAATACTTATAATGGAGGGACATTTTGTTCTGTATTTTCTTAGGTATTTCCTTTCTCTTCACATTTCCATTAGGTAAATGTTTTTATATTCTCTGATTTGTAAACAGTACCCTACCTTTCACCTTAAGAAAAGCCCTCCACAGTTATGATCATTTGCATCCAATGTGAAGCAGTATATTGCATAACAATTTTACCAGGATTTGAACCTTATTACCTACACTTAGCAAGATGGTTCATGCTTCACATCTGTGTGTAGGGCCATACAGAGGAAGAGTCAATTATATCAGTTACAGAACTATTAAATATTCTGTAACATCCTAGATGATTATGGGAATCAAACTCTGTACTTTTGCCCAGTTCTGCATGTTTATGTATCACTGTGTTATATAGAGATTCATAGCACTTCCTTTTGAGTTTGTTGTAACCTGTTTAATAAATTTATATATCTGAGAATTTGTAGGGACCGCACACCTGCATGTCTGTATACCAGGGGTACATGACATTAATATTTCCAGTGTCACGCCAGAGATGGACATCTGATGCGGCAACTGCATCATGCAGTGCTTGGCTAGTGTCTTGCATTAAGAGATGTATATGTAGTAACTGGTGTATTCATTGTTTTGGGTACAAGATTGATCCCCCTTCCCCTTACAAGCAAAGGGAAAACATGGTGTTTCCTCATTTGTACATTGGACTTTGAAAACCAGCAGGAACTATGCCAGTTTGAATAGCATTTTGAATCTTGTTGAAATTCACTCATCTCTGTGTATTCTGCTCCAACTACATATACTCAGCGTAATACTAATGTTCTACATTGAAGAGCTATCTTGGGCTTTCACTTTTTTGTGTGTGTGGCGGGCGCACATCCCATGTCTGATCAGTGAGGTAGACCTACACTCCAGGGACCAGCTGACATGATTGCTGATGTAATGTCTCTTCCTGGAGGGCTGCCGACATGTGAGTGAATCTTCAGTCAGTGCCCTGTCTACATACTCCATGGATGCAGGTAGTTAAGTGGACTTGTGCAGCAGTTCCAGATCCAGGAGATCAGAGACAGAAGGACTTCTGCAAGTCAAAGCCAGAGTTTGAGACCAATTTTGGACACAGATTTCAGCCAGGTGTCCCCCTGTTTGTATTGCAGCAACAGCCACTTATGTATATGCTCTCAGTTTCAAAGTAAGCTGAGGTTAGTAATTTATTATTCATCAAAAATCACTACATTCAAATTTTGGAAGCCAAAGATGCCGTATCTCCTTTGTATATAGTGTTAAAGGTTAGCATTAGTACTGTAGTGTGTAGACCTGGTACTAGGTAGCAACTGCAAAACAGACAGGTTCTCATGGCAAGTCCACGTGCAACAATAGTGGAACTGTTTGAAACGGTGTTTTCTATGCGGCCCATGCCAAGGGATTATATAATGAGGACATCAGCTGATCAGTAGCCAGCTGTAGGTCAGTCTGTGAAGAGAAGAGTAGGTGGTTGGTGTGAGATGGCCATCAGCCTGGGAGTTAAGTGGAGCAGGAGTTCATTTGTAGGGATATCTGCCAAATAGTAAAAACGTGAGGACAGAAGCTGAAGAATCTCCATTGTTAAGATCCTTTACCATGAAATGACTATTGGAAGCAGACTGAGAAGGATTACCATGTGCTGTAGTGATTTGTAAAGTGTGGAGATTTGCGACAGTGATATAATTATAGTTATGACCTGTAAGTGATCGATAAATACAATCTAAAATCCAAACCCCATCTATAGTCATACTCATACACGCGACAAAATAACGCACATAGGAGTGAGTAATTAATAGAAAAGTGCAGCAGTACAATGTGGGAAATGGTGTAGGGAGTTAGAAGTTAGTGATAGAAAAACTGTATACAAGCCAACAGTACCGTAATAAGTGTAAGTAAAATAGTGTTTTCAAAGCTACTTATATGTTAGATATTAGTAATCATCATCAGTAATCTGTCAAGACGACAGGTCCACAGTCTCTTCCAAAACAATTATATTAGTAATACACATTTAAATTTCGTAGATATGGCAGGATGTAAAATCATTATTGTAGTGTTACAGAAGCTGTCAAATTAATACACCAACCTTTTGATGGTGAAAAGGGAAAAGAAGAATGTGACCATTGCATTTGAATTAGTTAGACCAGAAAAGCATAGTATTTTATTGAAATATATGAAAACTACAGTCACTGGAGATGCAAGAAGTAAATTCTTACATCAACATAGAAAAAAATTATGCACATATTGGAGGAATATTACAATGTAATTTTTATGCTTGCTAGATGTTTAGCAGTCTGTAAAGTATGCATGAAATAATCACTTCGGGGAGCAGTTGAATTGATACCATGCGATCAGAAGTAAGGGAAGCAGTTTTGGAATTTGTAACAAAAAGGAACTGATAGGAGCCATGGGATCATTTAGTAAATTAGTAAATTTAGTAAATAAATTCAATTCAAATTTAATCATTTAGCAAAGGCATATTTTTTGCAAGGAGTGGTTACTGAGAGGATTCAGACTATTGTCAGAGCCAATGGAAAATCAGCATTGTTGTCCATTTGTTGCACAGATGCAGGAATGGAAGAGGAATCAGCTGTTATGTCAGTGAAAGAGAGGTTTCTTGGTACTGAGGTCTGACAGAGGGCCAGAGGTAACCAGTAAAGTTGGAGGATACCCCAGGTATGTGAATAAGGGATCCGGCAGAGGATTCGAGTTTGCAAACCTGGAGATAGAGAAAATGTTCGCCCTTGACATAGGGTGGTGTCTTAAGGGGCATGTGGTAACAGGATAAAATGCTACCAAGATTATATTCTTTGCAATTTTAGTGGAGACATTGCATGGGGACGTCAAATAGAAATGTTGGCACAGCTGCCGAGTACAGTTTGGGAAATGGATTTGTAGGGATGTGAGAGCAGCTTTTCTAGAACCAGGTAGTAGTGTATGGCTGTACTGGGATGGGGAATGCAGTTGGTTCAGTTGCTCTTTGGATGGATGTAGGCGTGAGGCAAAAGATAATCTTTCTCCTCGACACAGGGTCAGGTTTTGATTATGTAAACACAGCATCACAAGAGAAGGCACAGTATACAATTCCATTGCATCAGTGTAATGGAAATAATATTAGGAGAAAAAATGCTGAGATCAAATATACCAGGTGGTGAGACATTTAGACTGCAGGAGATGCAGGTAATGTTCCATGTGATGGAAATATTTGAGGGGGGGGGTATAATTGCAGCAGATACACTTAATTATTTTTTTTTTCATCGGGGATCTTGTTCAGCTAGCACTGTGCACATTAACTATCAACAAATAAAGATAAGCTTGCCTGCAGTAAGAGTGGTTCTGTATGTAATGGATATAGCTCAGATAAGAACCATTTGTACTCACAATTAGCAGAATTTGGGAGTTATAGAAAATGGTTAGGATGGATCATTTGAATTGAGGCTTGCAGAAGTATCTTCCGTGTCCCAGGAGGCAAACTGTCTCACCACCACTGCAGAATGTGCAATTCCAATACAAGGTACACATCAGTGCTCAGGCATTGTATTTTTAGTAGAAATTATCACTTGCCAGAAGCTTTGGAAGGAGAACTGAAATAATTTATGGGCCAGAAGTTAAATGACAAAATTATTAGACATTCTAATAGTCCATGGCTTTTGCCAACAAATTCAATAAAGGACAAAGAATGCATGAACAGAGTCCTGCAGCCTCAGATAATGTCACCAAGTCAGTTTACACAAATTCAATGCATTGCCAAGACAGTTTCCAGTGACATCAACAAATTCCAATTCTCCTGATCAAAGCTTATGCATATTAGTTAATTAGTACTGTAACACTAATGCTTGAATCCTAGATAACAGGATGGTGTACATCATGAAAGTGCGGCTTGCTAATCATAATGTTTATGATGTGTACATGATATTGCCATTTCCAATGAAGGTTTCAGATAGGATAAGCTTACCTTTATTTGGCCTGACAAGGAAATAATTTTTATGAATAATACAAACAACTCCGTGGCATGTAGTCTGCAAGCGAACTATACCGACCGAGTGACCGCCACTTGTTGGTGAAGTTAGTGCCAACTTTTGTGGATAGAGGGTGCCGTGTGGTCAGCGCAACGGATCCCCGTGACCGTTAATCTCAGTTTTCTAGACCAGATCCGCCATTTCCTTGAAATAGCTCCTGAATTATCCTCACGAGGCTGAGTGGACCCCATTCCAGTTCCACTACTTCCCAGAAAATTTGGTAACGAAATCGAACCCTGGACCTCTGGATTTGTAGCCAGGAACTCTGACAACTAGACCACAGAGGTGGTCCCATTTTTATGGATAATACAAAGCAATTATATGTGTGGGTAACTCAGAATTAATTAGGCTAATGTAAGAAACTGACTGATGGAAGAATGATATATAAAGAATTACCCTTAAAAATTAGCCATTCTTCTGATGAAAGTGAAGCATTAATGCCACAGCCAACTTGTGTAATACCTAAAAGCTGTAATCAACATATTTTTGAAATTAAAAAAATTATTTTGGTGCTATTAAAAAGAAGCATGTGGTTGCTTGTAATGTCAGTAGGGAGATGCACAGTAGCATAGTTGGTTGGGGCACTATACTACAAGCTGGAAGGTGGTGGGTTTGATTCCCAATTAGATCACTGGATTTTCAGTTGACCTAATCCTTCCAGTCACACAATGGACCTGGGGTCAACTCAGCGTTTAACAGAAATGAGAACCAGAAATCTTCCTGGGGATAAAGGGTGGCTAGCGCATAAGGCTGACAACCTCACCGCCATCTGTGAGCTGATTGTCTAGAAAATGTGATGGCCTTTGATGTCTCACAACCCTATGGGCCTTCACTGCTTGTTACAGGGATAGCTTTACCTTTTTTTCTTAATCTTTGTAATGCCAGTGTGTGAATACTTTACAGTTGTTTGCTCAAATTAGAACCATTTTGGCTCAGAAAGATAATAGAATACTAACCTTTCTGTAAGATTGTACAGGTTATAGCGACACAGTTATGATTGATCCATCACAGCACATTATGTTAATTACACAGGGAAAATATTATTTCACCTTAGAATTACTGTTGTGAATCCATTACTAACAAAATATAATTTAGATAAGCTTAAGTTACAATCACCTATGCATAATGATGGATTATAAATTATGAGGTTAATGATGCTAAAAAGTTACTGGAAGAGCAGGACTCAAAATTGAAACATTCACAAAATACAAAGCATTTTTCTGTATTTCTACTGGTGCAGTGCCTTTAGGACTATTAATTACTCGTGGTATTCTCTGTAGTCATCATTGTAATTGCGGTCAATGTAAAATGGTTAAGTAATGGAAAAGGTTCTACCTCCATTGTGTTTGAACCTAGAATCATTAACAGTGCCCATACCTCCAGTAATAGCTTACACAGGTGAGTGTGACACACTGCTTACAAAATAATATAGAAGAAAAAACAGATTTAGAATGTAGTACCACAGAATTGACACCCGTGACCTAGAGCCGCAGGGCAACAAAATCCAGCAGCCATAGCCTAGAAGTGGGAAAACGATAAATGGGCATTACTTAAAGGTCTCCAGTGCAGGGAGTTACGCATCCTACACGGTTATGGGAACTCAACCCTCTTCTTTTAGGTAGCTCTGTATGCTTATGTTATCAATATTACTGATTTAGAGATTTACAATATTTCATTTTTGGGTTGTTATAAAATGTTCTGTATCTGGGAAATCATTTAATTGGACAGCACATCTGCATGTTTTTGCATACCAAGGCTGCAAAGACAGACTGTCTGCTTAAAAAGTTATGGTTTGGACAGACCGCTGATGTAGCTAGTGTCTTGCTTTATGAGTTGTGTAATTAGTAAGTGGTGTATTCATTGTTTTGGGGACAAAACATAGAGAGACAGGACTGGGACCTCCTTGTACATGGGTTTTAAATACCCAGCATTATATGCCAGGGTGGGTACATGTGTATCCAAACTGTCATGGAGAGTAACTATGCCAGTCTGGATAGCATTTCAGACTTTGTCTATGTTCAGTCATTCTCTGTGTATTCTGTATACATATACTATATACATATATAGTCAGGGTAATATCAGCTTTCTATATTAATAAATTTGTTCTAAACCGAAGAGCTATCAAGGGCTTTCACTTGACGTGACACCTTACTCACACCCCAAGCAGTTAGGAAAATAGAATTCTGCTCAGGCATCTTCAAGTATCATCCCAACCTTGGGGTTACTGGCCATGATCCTGGAGATGGGATATGATAATTTGTACCATTCTAAAATTACACACACGCGCGCACACATAACAATGGATGAATGCACAAAATGTGTTCACACTGTAATGATCATGAGTGGACTGGATAAACTTCTATATATGTGCTGCTCTGGTAGAAAGGTGCAGCTAACACTGCTCCAACCCTTCAAGATCTATTTTCTGGAGAACATGAGTGATACTTCAGTGCACCTGTGACAAATGAGGTGACCATCATAATTGTAAGCAATGAATTTGACAACCAGGACATTATCTTGCAGAAAAGAAAACAAACTTCAGAGAGTGAGAGAGAGAGAGAGAGAAGGCTTGTGACACATTGCAACACCATCTCACCTTCTGGCAGGATCTAGTACTAATCCTCGCTGAGGACAAGTGTTGGAGATGGGTGGCAAGAATCTACACCAGTTAGGTCTTCCAATTCCTTAAAGGAATCCAGAGACTGATTTGAAACAGAAAACCAGTTGAATATATACTTAATAAAATAAGCCACTGTTGGTTGCAGGTGTGAGTTGCTTGCAAAACCATCCTGGACCTGTGCACAGGGGACTCAAAGATAGTTTACTTGATGCACTTGGTGGAACAGGGAAGATTCCAGTTGACAACCTCCACAATAGTATAGCAAACAAAAATTGCTGCCAAAATGCTATACAGTGTGATTCTGTCGCTAGGAAACCCAAACAGTCTTCAATAACTTTTTAATTTTCATATGGTTCCCTATGAAAATTGACATGGACAAAGCTTATGTCTATCAAAGCAGAACCATCACACCCCCCTTAATGAAGTGGACTGTACCTGTGACGTCGAGACGTGACTGCCAAACAGGTGTTTGATTCAGTGTACAGTGATTGCGTGTGCCGCAAACATGTACTCAGGTGAACAGCTTGTGTTTATTGTTCATGAATACTGGTGAACAGGTTCATTTAAACAATGTCAAAGGGCATTTCAGAATAAGTATGGTGAAGAAAGTGTACGAACAAAATCCTGTAGTCACAAATTGGTGAAAAAATCAGAGACAACTGGAAATGTTTTGACTCGATATGCAGGAAGCCAGAAGATGTGATCACACGATGCAGGATGTGAAGGATTGATTACTGGCTTTGCCAAGAAAATCCTTACGAGACTTTTGCAAGAAACTACCATTCCTTATTCCACATGTCAAAAAAAGGAAACTACACCCATATCATGTGTCTGTAATCCAAGAGTTTCTTCCAGCGGCTTTGAAGAAAAGCGTATGATAGTGTTTATGGTTCCATTGTTTAGTTGGGGAACATCCGGGGATTTTGGATATTACATAGTTTACGGATGAAGCCTGGCTTCAAGAAGGGTGAGGCTGTTGTGATCTTGGCAAGTGGTTTTCATCAAATGCTTCCTGTCATTCCAAAGAGAACAATGAGTGATAAAATTCAATTCTGCTCGAAAGCTTCATATCCTTGGAGCATGTGCACAAAATAGGACTACAGACCAACATGAGATTTCACTTGCAGGGTGATTGAAAAGAGTCAATTGATGCCAGGGGTCTGATCAGCTTCCCCCCCACAACATTTGCAGTGTAGCAGTCAAGTGTGAGAGACTGAAAATCAGTGAGGTCCCAAACATCTGCCTCAGATTCCAGGATCAGAAATGGCCTTCGAAATGTACCATTCTTACTCCACAGAATAACAGTGTAAAAGACATAGGTTTGCAATTTCAATAACGATCCGAGGAAGGCAAATCCTCGAAGTCAATGAACATGGCTGTGGATGATAATTAGCATATTCAGTTTCCCACTGAAATCCTTGCCACATAACTTGGTGCTCAAGGTTGGTTCTCCAGTCCTCTTCCCAAGGTGCCTGTATGCAACAAGAGGATGTGTGTGAAGACAATGCATCATACAGGTATAACTGAAATAATGATCTTACATGCAGCACAAGAAGTAAAGATGTACTCACACCACAACTACCCCTCATTGTAATGGATATGATTTTTTTTCAATATAAGAGACTTCAGTTTCCAGTGCATTTTGCCTTTACAATATGAATCAACAAAACTCAAGGACAGCCACTTCAGGCTGCAAACATTAACCTCAATTACACTTGATTCTCTCACGGGCAACTGAACATTGCTTGTTCAAGAGTTAGTACCGACAGAGTTGCATGTCTTCGTGCCAAATGTAAAAAACCACAGATTTCATATTGAGATAAAGAAAAACTAAAGTATGAGGATTAATAGTATTTAGTTTCAAACTTTTGGGAAAAAAAAAATAATAAATAAATTTGCAAAAAGGTGATGATTTACATGAATCCTTTAAATTAGAAATTAGAACATTAGAATAATTACTGAGTGAAAAGTATAAATCACAAGACATAGTTACACAAGTTACAAGGATTATAGCCGTCTGTATATCTAGCTAATCTAGCTATCTATGGCTCTACAGTCCTTTTGTTGGAATTTGGCAACTTTTCAGTTTCTTGATCCTATACACAGTTGGTAGGACTCCTTGGACAGGGAATTAGCTCACTGGAAGGCCGCTACCCACACACAAAGAGTAAATGCACACAGACATCCATGTCTTCAGTGGGATTTGAACCCACGATCCCAGTGTTTGAGCAAGTGAAGACAGGTTGTGCCTTAGACTGTGTGGCCACTGTCATTGGTGGATGACAGCACTGTATTCAGATTATTAAACTGACCACATGAAATACCATTACACTTAAACCTTTCAATCTATTAAGTTTCCTGATTATCTGTGTAGATGACGCCTGGCCAACATCAGGTAGAGCAGCTAATAACACTTGTGAAAAACCACAGCATTGTTACTTCCCAACAAGAAAGTTAATATAATTTTTATGGCAAAATCATCATGAAACAATAACAAATATGAAAAACCCCTGACTTTTCACATTGTTGCTTCTTAACCCTGGACCACAGGACTGTGTGCTTGAACAGCAACGGCTGAATATAAGGCGGCATTCTGCTAGTGCATTTTGTTTATAAAACTTAAGGATTTCTTTACTCTCACATCAAAGAAGCTGGTCTAATGGTAATGATCTGTTTGAATCAATGCCAGGACACTGGCTATCCTAGCCTGATGTTTCTGCATTTGTCCTCAGTCCCTTCAGGCAAATTCTGAGATAGGACATCAATTAAGCCATGCCTACTTCCCTATAAATTCTTTCCAATTCATCAATCACCCTAATGTCCAAAGCCATATGATCCTGATACTTTCATCACTAAATAACCAACTAGAGAAATTATCCTCACAAAGTTTATACAGAACTGGACGTGCCATGATTGTTCACTCCCCTCTTTATAGAAACTGTAAGTCAATGTTCTAGATATATGACTGATGTACGAGTATAGCCCTTGCAGTTTTGAGCCTAAGATCTTTGCCATGATCATGAGACTTACAAGAAACTGTAGTCACATAATCAGTGTCCAGTAAATGAAACTATAAATTTTAATTAATCTATTTTCATTTTTAACATTATCAAAGGACACTTCACTTAACTGACTAATGATGTACAGCTAATACATTGTTCTGTTATGCTGCTGCTGAATATTATTTCTTTTAGGACATATTAATTACACTTGAATGTATAATTCCATATGTAAGAATCATGTAGTATTTTGTGCTAGGAACAAACAAGGCTGTATATATTAGGCATGTGTCCTACAAGTAAATAACTATCTGTTTCCTTTTATCCATCCTGTATCTTGAGACGTCTGTTTTTTGTATAGTTTCATTACTTTCTTTCCAGGAACAAGTCCTGAAGTAAGACCTGGTCTTTTCTTCCTTATGATTTGTGTTGAAGAAGTGCTCTCTTTCTCTGCCTCAGTTTCTTCTTCTGGAACTGGTAATATCTGATTGAGTAAAGGCACTTGTTCGTTCTGGTTAGCACTGTCCCGTAACTCTGTCTCTGATTGATGTAAATCAGAATCATGTGCAAACTTACAATTATGTCCAAATCTACAACGACCTTTCCGAAAATTCCAGCATATTCTTTTTCCATTTATCATTTTAATTTCATCTTTAGTTGGAGTCATTTTAACATGCTTCTCAAGGATAGCTTTCTTCGCATTCTCTGCCTCTACAAATGGATTTGAGAACACAGAATTCTTGACCGACACAACACCTGGTGTTCCAAACTTGGGACGTGGTAACTTTTCAGATGTACGCCCATTCAGCTGCCTGTTTTCGCCTGACCTAAAATATAATGCAATGTTTCGATTAGTATACATTATCAAGAAGTGATTCTGACTTCTCTAATAATCATGCCACAGTAACTAGTTAGCACTACAATTCCTGAGTACAAATTACAACATACGTACTGACAGTAACTGATACCATGAAGATCTGAGAGATCACAATAAAAATATATAGGGCCCCATGAAGTAAGATCAAATAACAAAGAATAAAAGTTTCTTATATACCACGTCATAACAAAAAAAGAATGTCTGTATTTAAAGGGTTATACAAGGTGCTATCAGAAAGTTCCCAGACTGTTAGTGTTGTAACTGCCTCAATGAAAGAAGATGAGAGGGGAGGTCAAGGTTGCACTTCCAAAAGCATGTTGCATCAGTCTGCCACGTGACACCACACTCTGAACATGTACTGTTTTTACACAAGTTTTTTTTTTTAACTTCGTGTTTCATTTTGTCTGCGATGGATGGCAAAATCAAGCAACGTGCCTGCATCAAGTTTTGTATGAAGCTTGTTAAGTCCACTACCGAAACCCTTGAAATCTTTGTGAGGCTTTTGGAGAACATTCTTTAAGTTGGACAGCGGTTTTTGAATGGCATTCATGTTTCCTCTGAGATCTGAGATCATATGATTTAGTGCTCGATGTCTTGAAATGGAAAACAAACAGAAACAGTCACTGACTATCAGTGGGGCTAAAATTGTGGACATGTATAATTTCTTAATTAAAACCATCACAACACAACTATATTAAGGTCAGTGCCAAGTGTGGCTCTGCAACATGTTTCGGCTATTAAAAGCCATCATTAGGCAAATACATGGCTAACATATATACACCACTGAACTGCAGTGCTAGTAAAAGTGGATACAATAATATTAATACATTAAAATACTTGGCATAAAAATACAATAAATCAAGACTATATAAAACAAAAGTTATAGTATAAAACAAGAATAAAATTCTTCAAGTGATGCTTTACATCATTGAGTCAGTCATTGGTTTTTGTGATTTTGTTGTGTTCCCACAGACAAATTGGAGTATTCTATACTTTGTGTATATATAATAAACTGTTTTGGAGGCTCCTGATGTAGGTGCAGTATTATTAATGTTAACTGTTTAGTTGGTGCCTCATCTTACAAAGTATTGTCTGATCTGTAGGGACAGTTGTTTACATTCCCTACAGAAGGGACAATACTTTGTGAGATGAGGCACCGACTAAATAATTAACATTAATATTACTACATCTACATCACAAGCCTCCAAAACAGTTTATTATATATACACAAAATATAGAATACTCCAAGTTGTCCATGGGAACAATATTATAGCACAATGAAATGAAATGAAAATTAAAAATGTATAAATTTATTGATACATATTATAAAGCAGAACTGTATTTGACATGTAAGATTTGAGGCTTTCACGGCGGTGACTATGAAGAAAGCAGTCTTCTGGGATTTGGCACCGTGTATATGTGGTGTTAACCGACGTTTCAGAGGAACGTATCGCCTCCATCTTCAAGGTAGAAGGAAAAATATAAGAAATCCGCAAGTGAAGAGACCGTGATTTCTTATATTTTTCCTTCTACCCTGAAGATGGAGGCGATACGTTTCTCCGAAACGTCTGTTAACACCACATATACACGGTGCCAAATCCCAGAAGACTGCTTTCTATATTTGACATGCTCACCTGTGTAAGCAAGGTATGGCCAAGGTAGAACACAGAGATTATAATAGAGTAAGTAATTAAATACCTGGAAAATTAAGGGTACTCTAACAGGGAAATTGAAAAGAAGCAACAAGAATGTGAATACGTGAGCATGCATTTTATTGGGCCTTCACTGCACAGCATTTTGCTGTATCCATACATACTAGTAAAAATTTTCTCTTTATACAATGTGAGAGCCCACCTTTATTCACAGTCACATTAAGGTGGCTCACCTCATTAAACTGACAACTGAAAAATAAAATAAAACTGTTCACTTCACATTTGTACAGAGGGAACAATACTGCCAGTGAAAATACTAGGGTCCTTATCAGATGCCTAGTTTAAACCATGGAAATTAGAATAAACACCTTTGACATGCACTACATACAATAACCAGTGACAAGGCATAATTTTTAATATGGAATCTGACTTCAAAGGTAAAACATGGAAATGAAGACAGTGATACCTACATACTTCACTTCTTATACGTTCCAACATTTTCTGGTAAGAATCCCCAAAACACTAATATAAAATATGACATTTTCTTGGAAACAGATCTTTTGTAAGCACCTAAACACTGCCAGTAAAATCTGTTTTTAGGTAAACAGCCAACACTTACTTCACATACTAACTGAACCCTCAAAAGTAGGGTTATGTGAAACAGTGTTTGTGCAATAATGACAGGTCTAAAACTTTGGAGGAACAACTTGGTACACTTATACATGTGGTTACATATACATGGATACAAACTAACCATGACCATTCTTCTATGTAGTTTAGTTCATGAATGATGTCAGACTTGGAAATGATAGGCGATAATTTTCAATTTAAAGTCCAAACTCGAATAGTCCAGGTATCTGAAAAAATAGTAAACCTATGGGGGGATGTTAAATTAGTAAATGTCCTATTGTCCAGGAATTACTGAACGTTGACAGGCTAGTGCATAGTGTTTCAATATAATTGTACACTTCAGAGCCACATCTTTCACACAGCTCTCTCCCTCAATGCATGTGAAATGGCTGACGGAAGAAAACCATAATAAAATAACTCATGAAATCTTAACTCGTAATTTCTTGAGAAGCTGATAGTTACTCAGCTGGTTTCCTACCTTCATGGTATCTGAAAGTTCATTATTTTCAGAGCCCTCTGGTCCAGTCCACATTTCACATCTTATTTCTAGGATCCATTTTAATACTAACCTCCCTTCTATATACAACTCCTCCCTAATGATCTTGTCACCTGAGTTGTCTCCCTTGATTTTATAACCATAAAAATGTGTAAAACGTGAAAATTATGAATATCAGCATTATATAATCATGTTCATATTCCTGTTCTTCCCTTAGAGCCAAACACTCTTCTTGGCTCCTTTCTCTCAAACGCATTTTAATATTCAGTATTTAAATAAAAGCATGCACTTCCCATCAAACCTTGTTTTAATTTTTATCATGAATATAATTATGATACCTTACTGTTGTTCTGAGGTATTTTAACTTTTACATATTTTGAAATAATGCGCTGGCTACTGGAGACATCCACGCAAATAAGCACTAGAAATGGAAATTTGAAAGGACATATTTGCATAAATCTTCAATGATATGATGTGCATATTTGTTCATGAATATACCCACTGAAAACACATGTCACATAACCGAGACTTGTAGGTTATTCGCTTGCTTCCACCAAGGAACATTTCAATGAAATGTGGTGAAATAAAATCAGGTTAAATGTACGAAATGAGACTGTGAACTTATTTTAAGCTGCGCTGAAATCCTAATCTCAAAACCTAGCAATGAAATGGCATAAAATTAGCACACATCATCGTGAAATTTCAAAGAAAATTCTGTACGCTTTTAGAAATGCACCTAATTACGAACTTCATGGTCACAATAACATGCATGACGTTATGAAACGTTTGTTACGTTAGGGGTTAAGCAGATTTCTCACTGTAAAGCCTGGATCAATTCGGGGTATAGGGATTATATGAGACTTCTGGACAAAGTGGCAGTGGTGCATAGTTTTTCTGTGTTTCTTCGGCTAAGGAAGCTAGTATTTTATTTCGTGCGACACAAGAAATTGCAATAGACCAACAGAAACTTGGAAACGTCAAATACAGCACAGAACAGTACTGAAACCGTTTTAATATTCTCTACAACAAGGTCAATTTGCCCTAACTCATAATGACAACTTACACTTCAGGGACACTGTTACAATCAACATCATCGTCACTTTCGCCCGAAGAGCTGTAATCCGCAACAAGTGACGCCATATTGAAGTACACTTCTACACACTAAAACAAGTGACGAGAGAAACATTATTGCCACTGTATCGTGGGAACCAATTATAAGGAAATTAACAATTGGATGACAAAAATAGTGGATGGATACAGTGATCACTGTATTGATCTGAATTAAAATGTGTAACTGCAGGGAAGAGTGTTCTGTGCGTGCCATAAAATGCGTTAACAGCTGAATATAATAACTAACTACACGGAGCTGAGCCCTTCATGAGAAGCTGCCAGTTGTGCGGCCAGTCAAGAACTTCCAAACATTTTATGGAACCCAAAGGTTCATTACCGTGTTTACAAGAGTCCTCCATTGGCCTTTGTCATGAGCCAAATCAAACCAATCCATACCACCCCATACTCTCTCTCTAAGGTCCATTTTAATATTATCCGACCACCATCTTTGATTTCCTGTTGGTCTCTCTCTCCTTCTGGTTTTCCCACTAATATCTTGTATGCATTCTGCTCTGCCCTGTCCATCTCACCCTCCTCGATATGATAATTTTGATTATATTTTGTGAAGAGTACAGATTATGAAGCTCCTCATTATGCAGTTTTCTCAAGCCTCCTGTCACTACATCTCTCCTTGGTCTAAATATTCTCCTCAGTACCCTGTTCTCAAACAGCCTCAGTCTATGTTCCTCCCTTAATGCCAGAGACCAGGTTTCACACCCATACAGAACCAGAGGCAAAATTATGGTTTTGTATATTCCAATTTTTATGTTTTTAGACAGCAGACAAGAAGACAAAAGGTTCTGATCTGATTGTATGTATGTATTTGTTTCGTCTCTATAGATCATTGTTACATGATATAGGACAAGTCAGGTACTGTACATTGGCTGATTACAATAAGAGAATGAAGTTACAATACTTGAAATTGTTTACAATAGATTACAATAGTTAAGATTTCACATAGTGTGAGGTGGAATCCATATTAGGTCCCCTCGGCACATCAGCTTCCATATATCCTATTGTGCCTGTACTGGTGATAATGTTCATGGAGAATCTGATGGAATGAGGATTGGCAGGGGAACCGAAGTACTCGGGGAAAACCTGCCCCAGCGCCATTTTGTCCATCACAAATCCCACTTGACTAGACCGCAGCGGTGGGAAGCCAGCGACTAACCGCTTAAGCTATGGTGCGGCCTTTGAGATAATACTGGTGAATTTGGTGATACCACTGGTATAACGTTTCACTGTAGACTCTACACTGCAACATCTCATTACATCTGTTCTCCCTTCTTGGTGCAGCTTCTTGGCATTTGCAATCTCTCCAGAATAGCCCATTCAGGTATATCTCCGACTGTTTTATCTTGGTTGCTGGAAGAAAGAAAGGAAAACTGCGCTGTAGGGATTCCCAAAACCAATTATTCATGAATTATATGGTTATAATTGATTAGTGTTTGTCTCACACGAGAGAAACTCATCCACTTTATAAAAACAATGATCGAGTAGGTAAGTTTTCAAAGCACTTTTGAACTTATATAGTAGCAAGCATGAACTGAATTCAATCTCCTCTTAACTTCCTCCTTAATAAAATTTTGATTTGTTACTATTGTTCCCAGATATTTGAACTGTGCCACATTTTCGAAGGATCCGTTAGCTATCTTTATGTCAGGATTTTGCCATGCATTGTGATGATGAGACAGCAACGTATACTTACTCTTCTCTGAGTTTACTTATAGACCAACCTCCTTACTAGCAGCAATTAAAGTTCTGTGTTTTTCTGTATAGTACCTATGTTATCTCCCAGTATATTCACATCGTCTGCATAGACCAGCAGCTGATGTGTCCAATTTAATTTCAGTCCTACCTGGTTTTCCTGGCCTTTGCTAATGGTATATTCTAAAGCAAAGTTGAAAAGCAGTGGTGATAAAGTATCTCCTTGTTTTGGACTATCTTGGATAGGAAAATTAAGACAAATATTTACCCATGTGGACTTTGTTATAGGTTTCATTTGAACACATTTTAATCAGCCTAACTAGTTTCATTGGTACCCCAAACTCTATAAGAATATTATATAGTACTTCCCTCCTAACTGAACCATGATGTCTTGAAGTTGATGAATAGCTGATGTACTGTGCCATTGTACTCCAATTTTTTTCTCCAGTATCTGACAGATGCAAGGGATCTGATCAGTAGTTGATCTGTTACATTGAACTCACACTGATGATGTCAAATAATTTCATCTATATATGGACTTAACCTTGAGAGGATACCAGATAAAATTTTGTGTGAAGTTGAAAACAGTGATATCCCATGATTATTACTAGTCAGTTTTATTGCAATTCTTCCTTATTCCAAATAGAATTAATGAAGTTATATGTCTCTGACCATAATGTTTCACCTCCTGCTTGAATCAGTTCGGCCAGAATTTGATCACTACCTTGAGATTTATATCTTTCCAACTTCGCAGTAGTAATTTCATCCTCAAAAGGACTAGGATCAGGTACTAATGGCTCAGCTGTCTACCTAATATCACTGACCCTATGTACAATCAATAACTGGGAGAAATATCTTTATATATATGTTTTGCATCCTGTTGTGTACGTCAACTATGTATTTTTAGTCTGCCTAGCACAACAACTCACCTATAAATAAACAACTGAAATCATGATGTTATCGATGAAATCAGTTATTACTTACGTACTTACTTATGGAGCCGAGCCCTTCTTGAGGAGAAGCCAAATCTGCAGCTACTCAAGAATTTCCAAGCATTTTATGGAACCCAAAGGTTCATTACCATGCTCACAAGAGCCCTCCACTGGTCCCTATCCTGAGCCAGATCAAGCCAATCCATACCATCCTATCTCTCCAAGATCCATTTTAATATTGTCCACCCACTTACGCCTTAGTCTTCCCAGTGGTCTCTTTCCTTCTGGCCTTCCCACCAATATTTCGTATATGCATTCCTTTTCTTCTCCATTCATTCTACATGCCCTGTCCACCTCATCCTCCTTGACTTGATCATTCTAATTATACTTGGAAAAGAGTACAAGTTATGAAGCTCCTCATGCAGTTTTCTCCAACCTCCTGTCACTTCATCTCTCCTCAGTCCAAATATTCTCCTAAACACCCGGTTCTCAAACACCCTCAATCTATGTTCCTCCCTTAATGTCTGACACCAAGTTTCACACCCATACAGAACCAGAGGCAAAACTATAGTTTTGTATATTCTGATTTTTATGTTTTTGGACAACAGACGAGACGACAAAAGGTTCTGGACTGAATGGTAGCAAGCATTACCTGAGTTCAGTCTCCTCTTAATTTCCTTCTGAATTAGGTTTTGATATGTTATTGCTGTTCCCAAATATCTGAACTATGCCACATTTTCAAAACATCTGTTTCCTATCTTTATGTCATGATTTTGCCCTGCATTTTGGTGACGAGACAGCAACATATACTTAGTTTTCTCTGTGTTTACTTCTAGACCAACCTCTTTACTTGCGTCAATTAAAATTTCTTTGTTTTTCTTTATGGTATCTTCATTATCACCCAGTAGATTCACATCATTGGCATAGACCAACAGCTGATGTGTCCTGTTTAATTTCAGTCCTACCTGGTTTTTTCCGGACTTTCCTAATGGCATATTCTAAAGCAAAGTTGAAAGGGAGTGGTGATAGAGCATCTCCTTGTCTTAGACCATTCTGGATAGGAAATTTATCAGACAAATGTTTACCTATATGGACTTTACTGTATGTTTCGTTTAAACACATTTTAATCAGCTTAACTAGTTTCATGGGTAGCCCAAACTCTTATTAGAATATTGTACAATACTTCCCTCCTAACTGAATCATAGGCTTTCTTGAAGTCTACAAATAGCTGATGTACTGTTTCATTGTACTCCCATTTTTTTCTCCAATATCTGACAAATGCAAAAGATCTGATCTGTAGTTGATCTATTATGTTGAACCCCACACTGATGATCCCCAATAATTTCATCTATATATGAATTTAACTTTGAGAGAAGAATATTGGATAAAATTTTGAAATCAGTTATTATTTAGTAATAATACATGCTACATGTTTTAGTTATGTGTGACCATCATGTGTGTAAAATACAAGGGTTGGAACTTTAATAGCGGCAACTATTTATTTACAGCTGATACAAAATTGACGCATGTTTTGAAGTTTTACAGTCCTTCAATGTAGTCACCAGCATTGTGTACAATCCCTTGCCAGCGATATGGAAGTCGTAGGATACCTTTAGCAGCGCCTGTTGTGTTGATAGTTCGAATGGAGCGGTCTGCTGCCTGAAGAATCTCTGGAACATGTCTGAAATGAATGCCACAAAGTGGTTCCTTCATCTTAGAAATCAAGTCGAAGTCACAAGGGCTTAAGTTTGGGGATTATGGTGGATTGTACAGCACTTCCCAACCCCATCGATCAAACATATCTGCCACAGCTTGCCATTTCTGCATTTCTGTCAAATTATGTGGAACCCATCCTGATGCAATTTTTCTCATGCCCAGGCATTCCTTCAGAATGTGAAGCACAATTGTATGCGCTAATCCTGTCTTTCGGGCCAGCTCATGAATCGTATGGCGTCAATCACTCTCCAGTAATGTGAAAAGAGCATACACTTCTTCTTCACTGACACTAGGATGACCTGGCCGACGCATGTCTGCCACATTTTGGCATCCCTTATTGAAGGCTTTTACCCACCTTGCCACTGTTCCCTAAAGCAATGCAGATTCCCCGCAAGCCTCATGAAGACGTTGATGACACTGCCGTGCTGTATGGCCTCTGGCACATTCAATCTTTATCCAACTCCGTTGTTCCTGTTTTGAAAAATCGTGACAACACTACATTAGACCGCCAGCTAACACGAGGCTCTCTTCTTCTCGTCACTGCACATGCTTGTGATGTGGGAAGGTCGAGTCCATTTGCTCTGAGGTAAGGTAGGTATGTAACTAACGTGTGGTATAAGCGACATTATTTGGTTCCGTTGCATGGTGACTCTACAGTAGTGTTGCCACTACTAAAGTTCCAATCCTCATATTAAAATGTGTGTCAACATATGTTATTGGACTGTTTGTTTACAGTGGATCCAATGCAGATAGTCATCTTACACAACCATTTTCCAGATTACAGTATTATAAAATATGTTGGATTGATTATTAAATTAGGTAAGTCTATAATTTATTTCCATTAATATAGTTATTAGTTAAAATTAACAGTTTAAATCATAAACATAGCCTATTGTGTATAGGGTTTTTTAGTGGAATAAGTAAAGAGGAGATGGGGTAGGGAGGTATGTTGAGAGAAATATTCTTATTTTAAACACCTTGTGATGGCCATGTATGACCGAAACACATGGCATGTATTATTAGTAAATAATAATTGAGTTTATCGATAAGTTCATGCCTTCAGTTTGTCATTTATAAGTGGGTTGTTGTGGTATACTAAAAAATCCCATGGTACTGGAAGTAGTTCTTCCACCTCTTCAGTGTTGTGGGAATCTGCAAGCAGATCACCATTCTTATCCTTCACTGTTACTTCTAGGTTGGTAACCCCTCTTAAATTTATATATTCCTCTATGCAGGTCTCTAATGTTTTTGTTCGTACTGTTCTTTGCAAGCTCATAAATTTTGTCTTTCAGATATTCCCTCTTTTTGTTGCTGAAATGCCTGCTGGTTTCACATCTTATATTGTTCAGATTATCCCAATTTATTTTGCTTGGATCGTGTAACCACTGCAGTTTGTCTTGTTTCCCTTGAGCATCCTTCATTAAACCATAGCTTATGTTTCTTCAGTTCATAATAACCTAGATACTCCTTGGCAGAAATTTTGATATTCTCTCAAATAGTTTCCTCAGCTTTACTATCCACCTCAGTGTCCAAGTTTTCCAAAGTCGCAAACCCATTTGAGATTTAAACATGATACTGCCCTTTACCCACTACCAGTCTCTCCCTAACTTTTGCCACCAGATAGTGGTCAGTATTCCAATCTGCTGTCTTTAACAATCAGACACCAGGTAGACTTGAATGCTGTCTCATACCTATCAAAATATGGTAAATCTAATTGTCTGTCCATCAGGAGATGTCCAAGTAAATTTATGAATGTTATAATGTCGGAACATTGTACTTTTGACAGATTTTTGATTGTGGCAAAGTTTAATACTCTAACTCCTTTATCATTACCAATTTTGTATAAACTCTCACTCCTAGTTGTTGGTTTGAAAATGTCTTCCCTACCTACTTTCGCATTGAAATCTAACAAAATTTTCATATGGTACTTAGGGAATTTATTGAATACATGTTCTAGTTCCTTGTAGAAGCTGTCCTTCATATCCTCTTTTGGGGCATGAACATTCAGAATGATATCACACCAGTGACCTCGTAGTATTATGTATGACATCCTATCACTAACAAACTCTACACTCTTAACTGCTGATATGATTCTCTTAAGTACAAAAATACCTGTATGTAACTCATTATAGTCATTCCCCTTTCAATAGAAAAATGTATACCTGCCTGCTGGTTCGATGACACATCTGTCCCATGTCACCTCCTGTACTCCCACTAAATCTAACTTATAACCTGCCCTATATAGATTTCTTACATTCCATGTGCCATCCTTAGCTTAGGTTGTTTATCCAAAGAATCCATCCAAGTCTGAGACCCTTTGTGATATTTCATAACAGGCTTGCTTAATCCTTTATTATCCTAAAAAATGTTTGTGGAACTTAATTATAGTATTATTATTCCGTCTAAGTCTGTGTCTTTCTATGGGTTGTTTCCTGAGTGGTTATTATTGTATGCTAGGTATCCTAATCTTGTTATCCGTGATCAGTTGCCAAACGATATTTTTAATAAAATTTGTGAAGCCTCTCATGATATAATTGTTTTTGATGTGGTCCTATACCTTAGGTCAAAATATTTTCACTCAAGCATAGTCAGTGTACATTCTTCTATCAAAGTGAAAGCCAGGGTTGGTTTAATTTTATTAATGGAAATATAGAAGCCCCAAATAAAGGTAATGATGATAAAGACAGGGTAACTTTTACGAGGAATTAGATACGTTTCATAGATACCACATGGAAATTGTAAAATTATACTTTCTCATCGACCATAGGCACAAGAGTTCACATGAAATTAATAAAGATTGAGATCACACTTGGATATCCCCCCTGAAGGGATGATTTCTTTTATCCCAGTGTTTTACATTAACTCATGGAGCTCATGTAGATGAGATTCTTTACAGAAAGGAGTAAAGATATATATTGTGTCATTAACTTTTAACTACAATATTAATAAATCAGCACTGAATATTACATTAACTTTTTCTGTAAGTATTACAAAAATTAATAATTCTGCACACAAATAAGTGCCATAATTTATCAAAATATTATACATTCATTCACAAGATGTAAAGAAGTTTGTTTCAATATTCACTTCAATTACAAGAGAAAGAATAGTGGAAATGCAATTATGTATATCAAATAGAGTGCTTATCACCACACAGATTCAAAGACATGCTAATGATAAAAGTCAGTACTAGACAGTCCACTATGTCTTAGGTCGCACAGACTATGATATGTGACATTATTAACTTAGCATTCAGCCATCTACTATAAGCAAACAATTTATTTTATAAATATTTCAGATTGCTTTCCTTTATTCTCCAGTAACAAGCACTTGGTTTTTCCCCACAGTCCTGCCTGCATGTGATGTAGCAAGCCCCTGTACGAGCAGAAGACTGTTACAAAAACTTCACTTTAGGATCAGATGGTGATATGTGTGGTTGCAAGCTCAAACAGTCACTGTACACATTAGAGTACAGCCATGAACATGGGGCAGTGGAACAGAATTCAGAAGTAAAGTATAAAGTAAAGTAAACTACAAGAGGCAATGTACATAGCCAGAATTATGACCTATGGGTAATACTCTTCCAAGGTGGTGGTGCGAAGAGCTTGCAGAATCGATCTTAGTGACAATGCGGACATCAAATTGGAAAAGTTCACAGTGTGTCAATATTTTGTTATTATCAGCATATCTTTAAGACTTATTCTGGAAAGTGTTTCTTGGTTTCTCTGAGTATTCACTTCCTAAGCTTGATATTACTCCTGCAGGATGAATTAACACCTTGCAATACTTTCTTGTACTTAGAGATGTACTTTTCATCACAGTTATCTCTCTCCTTTCACTTGAGTCAAATTTATGAATAAACAGTCGCATACATGGTACATCCAGCCAGTATTTCCCAAGAGCTGGTTTCACTGTTTCACACATAACCAAATTTTCATCCCGTGGTAAACATTCATTACTGACAACAGTAGGAACATTTTCTTCTTCTAAGAACTGCATAGCTAAGTTTACAACTATAAATGTAATATGGAATTCTGTTACAATATACTTCATTGTGTTTGCCAGCTGATTCATGAGCCCCAGACCTGAAAGCAGAGGGGTCATCATATATTGTAATATAGTACAAAATTGTATATGTACTCATTATCTTTTAATGAAAATAATGTTGAAATCTTACCATCATTAAGGTCATTTCCAAGAAAAGGGAAGAGTAAAACAGGAAGGGAATCCAGGAAGATAATGCGTACACTATGATCCCCATCTTGTTCATGGTGAAGGCTAGTCTTCAAATGTTGCAAGAAAGAAAACAGTTCATAAATGTCCTGTATTCTTGTTACTTGAATTCTTTCCATAACTGCACCAATTACCTAAATAAAAAAATCTGCTATAAATTCAAGTAAACTCCATGGAGAAAAACCACTGTAGAGAAGATGATAGTCACCCCACTGTTCAAGGAATTCACTGCCACTGGATCCTATCATGAGCCAGCTGAATCTAGTACTTCAGTCCAATCTGTAACACTCTTATTTCTTTAAGATATATTTCAACACTGTCCTACCATCTACAGCTTGTTATTCCAAGAAATTTCTTCTCCTCAGTTTTTGGGCACAAATGCTGTACAGATGTCTCATATTTCCCATGAATGTTTTTTTACTTCTTTTTGTAATTTACTTAATGATGCTGTCAATAACCCAGAGTGTAGAGTGTCAGATGATGGGCTGGTAGTGAGTGGGAGAGGCGTGGAAGGAAGGTTTGTGGCCTCATTTTAAGGTATTATAATGGCATGCGCCTGGGGGACTGAGGAAAACCACGAAAATCTGCCAGCATAGTATCCTGGCTAAAATTCAAATTGAGCAGCTCCAGAGTACAACTCAGAAGTGTTATCACTTCAGGACATATCTTGCTTCTCTCATCCTCTGTTACTTCCTCTCATGGGTCTATATATTCTCCCTAGAATTTTGTTTCTCGATCACCTTCAGTGTATATCCTTCCTGTGTTAACAGACAATCACAGCAACAGAAGCATGGTGTTCTCTGTGTGGTCCATGCCAAGAAGTTATAACCAGACCAGTTGAAGAAATGCCCTCAGTTTAGTTCTGCAAGGGAGGCTGTGAATAGAGGACCTGAGAGCATGAAGCTGACGAATCTCCACTATTAGATGTCATTACCGTGGGACGGTTGGTGAGGGCACAGCAGGCTGGAAAACGGCTTAGTGGGTGCTGTGGTGATTTGTGAATTGTGTAAATTAGCAGTGGCACTGTAATTGCTTGCAGTTCCAGGTTGTGTGTATAAGTGGCCAGTAAATCCATTCACAAATCCAAACCCTGTCTATAGTCACCCCTAATCCATGAAAATATTTTAACCTGACACTGTTCTTTAACCTTGAAATAAGTTTAAATATGTTCAGATAGTGGCCAGTATCACACTCACCTCCTTTACCAGGTAGGACATTAGTTATACCTGCATGTTTTCTTTCTATCAAGACAAGATCAAGCATATGTATATATGTCACAGCATGACAATTACACATTTTAAAGTGTCAAAGTTTACTACTCCAACGCCATTATCTTGCTAATTTCATGTGAACAGTCATTGCCAATTATTGGTTTGGAAATACCATGTCTTCCAAGTACTGAAATCTTGTACATAAATGTGTATGAAGGTAAGTCAGAAACTATCTGCAAAATAATGTCCATATCTTACTTTTGCAATTGGCCCTATTACTGAAATGTGAAGACAACCATCAGCTTTGAACATTCTGTAATAATGACTTATTTGACCATTCAGTAGTCTTTTATCACTAGTGGGCTCAAAATGGCCACTCTGCTTGTCACATGTGCCATAGATGAGCAGTGTGTAATGACGATATTTTTGTTGGATGAAGGTCTAAGAGGTATCAAAATTTATGAAAGTCCATTAGTATGGTATAGTGAGTGTTTTGTTGCAGCAAAGTGTGTGTGAATGGAAGTCCATTTTAATATTATCCCAAGTTGTCCTTTCCATTCACATCTTCTAGCCAAAATTATGTAAGCATTTCTGATACCTCCCATGCATGCTATACTCACTGCTAAATAACCCCTCTTCTTGTGATCTCCCAGCTACACATAACATTCAGATTGTGTATATATTACCTCATCATTATATCCCCTTGTTTGTAACATTTCTTGAACTCTCTTTCCCGAAAAATCTGTCTTTGTATCGATATAATGTACTTGTTGCTCAAAGTCATGGGCAATATGTGTTGAAATAGTAAGGCAAAGTTGAGTTTTTCCACTTCCAGATGGACCGCAAACTTCATAGATTTTACCTGTCAGAAAGCCTCCTTCCATCATAGCATCCACACTGAAAATAGAGCAAAAACCAAAATGCAGTACTCTTCACAATGAACTTTTGAAGGATATGTTTCATAAACTATGCAGAAACATTATATCAAAATGAATATATTAATGTGAATAATTTTTAATAGGGTAGACCTTGATTAAACTTTCAAACAATCATTTCTTTCACCCCAGCATCCAGTTTTCTGAGAACTCTTTTGGGGAGAATCAGTGTTCTTAATATAGGATTTGAGGTTCTCACAGTGGTGGTTATGAAGACTTATATCTTTTCGGATTTGCTGGTTTGTTTGTTGGCTTATTCTCTGACCCTGAAGAGGGATATAACATGTTCCTCCAACATATTTTCAGTAGACTGCACAACATATGCAGATGTATGCTGATTCATTATGATATCTCTGTGCACTTCCACAAACAGTTAATGAATTTAATTCATATAAATAGATATTGTGAAGAACTTCTCTAATTCGTAGATGTAAAAGAGGAAGCTGTTTATCACTGATCATGTGTGTTAAGGTATTCATGGGATGCAGGGACAGGTTGCAATATCCACTGACCTCAACATCATTGAGTATTTTTGTATTTTTTAGGGTGGGGTGAGACTCAGAACGCTAGGTACTGTGGTCTTAAATTGCCTGTTGTATCATTCCCACATACTGGACGAGAGAAAATGAGCATTTGGTGGAATGAGAATTAGCAGAGAAACCAGAGTACCTGGAGGAAACCAGCTCTGGTGCCACTTTGTCCATCACAGATCACATATGAACTGACCTGGGCCAGTGGAGCAAGAAACTGGCAACTAACTGAATGAGTTATGGTATGGTCCAACATTTCATAAGACATGCAAGATGGAAAGGGAATACAGGAGAAAGGAGGGGAGGGGAAAGATAAATGCAGGAAGATCCTTCCTATTGAAATTCTAATGGATGCTGGGCTAATAACCTTGTAATATTACAGCTCTAAGAGATAAATAAGTACTTAACAAATATCTCTGATGTTCCACCTTACATGCAACACTTTTTAAAAACTTTTGTTTAAAAATTACTACATATACATAATGTGTCTTTTAAACTTATTTTAAAAACCACACTGTCCACTACAAGTTTTGACCAAGCACAGCAGTCTCCACAGAAGAGCTTTTAAAACACCTGATGATGACCAATGATGGTTGAAATATGTAGTGGACAATGTGGTTTTTAAAATAACTTTAAAGGATGCATTAGGTATATGTTGCAACTTTTAAACAACATTTTTAAGACGTGTTGCATATAAGGTGGACATCAGAGACAATTATTAATTAATTTATAATATGCAACAGGATGTTATAATATTGTAACATGTTTTGCTACTGAAGACGCCGTTCAGATTGTTAATTGGTTTATCGGTAATATTATAAATAAGTACACTGTGCAGTTTGGAAGCATATGAACCTGAAATCAGACTTGGAGGTTGAACATCATGTTCTGTTTCCATAAGTCACCGTGAACAAACTGAGGCTCAATAGCACTGCACTTCGTTCACAGTTTTTGGGAGTGAAATTGTACCTCTCATGCTACCATTAATCATAACTTTTTCAACTTATAAACCACTTCTTAATCATTTTTACCAGCTCTCATAATTTTTAAGCATGCATCTTTTCTATATAAAAATACAATGTAAGATCAGTGAATACCTTGAGCCTGAGTATCAGTTGGATTCATTCACATAGCTTGGTAAATGAAAGACCAAACACAGACTGCTGAGAACAAAACCATTAGAACCTTCATAGGACTATATATGTTGTAACAAAGGTATGGTACAAACCTTTCTATTCCACTTGGAATAAGAGCAGTATTTGATATGAGTTCAATGTAGGTATCTATTCCTTTAATAGGAAATGCAGAATAATTTGCTGTTATACTTCGGTGTAACTGCAAAACCTCCTAAAAGACACATACGTAAAGTAAATGAAGATAACACAATATAAATAATTCAGTTCTAGGATTCAAGTAATAAAAAGGCATTTGATTTTATATTGTAATGTTCTCCATTGTAAAACCATGTACTCACATTTATTTTCATTTCATCGATCCAATCCTTTCCCCGCAGGGCTGGATATAAAATATGTTACATATTACAAATTCATGATAACATATCATATGTGTACATCTTAGGTCCAATAGAGTATACGTATAAATCAGGCCTCATGCAGTCAGCACAGGTTGTCAAGACAATATACATAAATTGTGGAAACACTATTGTCACATTCGACCCTGAATAAAATCTTTCATATTTCAAACTATAATGATTCTATATTGCATAATTGCCACATTTGGTTATTCTGCATGCATTGGCCAGCCATATTATCAGTACAGTTTCATTTTAACATATTTCAAAATTCATACCAAATGGTTATTGTACATGCTACTACACTTATAACAAGCAAAGTCTCACAACATATAATATAACACACAGAACTACTCATTCACTCTTGTTTCAGTGAAATCTGTTGCTCCCACCTTTTGGACAGTCACTTCTACTCTGATGGAGCACATTCATCTGAAATATTGGTAGCCACCTACACAACATGGTGATGCAATCCAGAAGACCAAAATCTAAATTTTACTGCCATAAAAACCTCAAATCTGAACAGCAACATTGCTTCCAATTTACATGAACATATTCAAACATATTAATAATGTTATATTTTAGCGTCCTGTTACACTGATTCATGTCCATGGTTTATGCTGACTGTCTTACAGTGTATACACTTTTTCACCTTATTCTTCACTTCCACACTACATGTTTCAGCATTAATATGCCATCCTCAGATGTCTTTATGCACGTTAAACTATTGTACTGCATGCCATAATGTCTTCAATCTAAAATGACTAAAATCTGTATTCGTCATATAGGATGATGAATTCTAAATAATAAAACTTTTCAGGATTCTTTCTACGTCGCACTCAAACACGCGAATTACGCCAATCCTCTTTTATGTGAGCATTCTTCCTACATATATTTGTGTATCGTGTTCTGTGTTGTGTTTTGCTCCTGTTACTGCATGCGTTGTATTGCAGTACAGTGTGAATTATGTTGATAAATTTATCCATAGGTCCATAGGAATCAGGGATGTGAGCCATTATAGCATGCACAGGGGGATAAAAATATTTTGTTTCCGATTAAAAATTAACTTTTAAATATAAAAAAGAATAACAATAAATTTCACATGTGAAATATGCCAGCATGGATGCATCTTGCACGTACTATTTCTTAAGTGCCAGAAAGTGTTTGGATGATTTACTGCAGGATACTAGCACAAGAAATGTTAATTAGCAGGGACAGGCAAACTATCTGTGAAAAGGTCCCAAGCCTCTAGATTAAAATAATAATGTCGAGATTTTTCTGTATCAAGATATTGCAAAGGAAAAGTAATACAGGCTTCTTTTCATTCATTCAATCTTTCTTTCTTTTATTAATCCTGTAGATCATGATACAATGATATAGGACAAGTCTTTCAGCTAATATACATTATTAAATTACAACAATCTTAATATTAAAAAATTATATAAGATATATTTTATACATTATATGTATACTATATATTTCTGCTTATATCAGTAGCCAATATTCGAGAATTCATCGTTCAAATAGTCCTCCGTTGAGTAATAGCACCTCTATTAGCAATCTAATATCCTTATATGCCTTTAAACATGCATGTATCCTAGTCTGGAATACAAAATTAGTATACCCCTACATGCATCACTTAGTTTGCTCACCCCCTGTTACTAATGTGAGAAGATTAAAGAGTAATGTATAAAAATTAATACCTACTTTGAATGGTAGCTTCGTTATCTGAATTAATTTCTCCGGGCTCTCCTGTAAAATATCAAGAACTGTAAAAATTCTCTTCTGGTGTAACCTTTCCAGAACACATTCGTCCAATAGAGGGCTCATTTGAGTGCATAATCTAGCCATTCGGTTTCTTTAATCACTTCCTAGGTTGTGTTACGACTATTCATAGTTGTATGCATGCATAGTTGTACATTCAATACGCGTACATGAAGGAATTTCAATTACTGAAGCCTCCTACCACTATATCTGTACGATCTCTACGAACATTTTCAACTTCCCTCCTTATTTCATTTAGTGGGTTTACAGAATTATCAGGGCTACTAATCTATTTATATTTTGAAGCTGACGGTCGAAGTCTTGTCCTGTGTATCTGGGAATAAGTATCTTGGGATATTTCATTTCTGTTATTGGTTACCCTGAGTTTCCAATTTTGTGGATGAAACGCTCCTGGTGGATGTATACTGCACAACAAAAGCATGAAAACGAGGTTGCCGTTTGAGGTCCGTCGCCATGTTCGGGAAGAAGGTAGTGTCCTTGAGCTAAAATGTTTGAAATTACGTTTATAACGATAGTTATAGTTCGTATCATGAGAGTAACGTTTGGTACCTAATTAGTTAGTAAATTTTGTAGATTGTAAATATGATAAAATTGTGAACGGATGATGTACCTTCAACATGAAACTTAGTGATAACATAATGGTAAGTTTCTAGGTGCAAAACGAAAATGCCAATATGGCGGATGGCTGCTTTGGCCATTTCCTTTGTGTGTGGTCAAATTATGGGTTTTTTAATACTAAAAATATATAACGGTTTTTAGCGTTTCGGCAATACATATAATAATTTATTGGGAATTTTCGCAAATTTTATTTTGTAAGGTAGGTATATTTATTTGTAGGCGGTATATTGAGTGCACTGTTAATGTGATTGGTGCGGCGATTCAAGTTGAATAAGGTTATGTAGGTATGGTGCAATATATGTGGGATATTTGTGATTTTAATATGAAAGAAGTGGTATACCATGATTATGCTGACGTGTATGGCTATTAACGTTTGGCTCTAGCGTGGAATTCGTATGCTTTTCAGGCAATTATAAGATGAGCGATCATCAGGCAGGGGCTGGACCACAGCAGCCCCCGCAAACTTTGAATGTGGCTGGGCAAGCAGTGCGACTGCAACAAGTGTTGGCAGCTGCAGGTTCACGAGGGCAACAGTTTGTTATTACATCCCAAGTTAGCGTACCTGGTCTCACTCAGGCAAGTTAAATGTGTTAAGTTCATGATGAGTAGAGACTTCTAGGTTATACAGCAGTTGAGGCCATAAGATTACCGCCACGTATCTGTGTTTGATTTGTTTGCAGCTATATCGATCATAAACCAGTTTAACATAACTCTGTTCTAATAGTCTGAACCGTGACTACACTAAATCACTTTCTCCTGTTAATGTGCCACAGAATTTGGGACATACCTAAGTATTCCAATTGTGTCCGACTGGTACTGTAAATAATCAGGTCAATACAGTGGGTGCTTGATTGAATATGTGTAAATGTATTTAAGAACCTAGTGTAGAGATGGAATTTAATTTTGATGATGGATCAGTGCTGTGCGTAAAACTAAAGTAAAGCTATCCCTTTAACAGGCTGTGAAGACTCATAGGGTTGTGAGATGTTGAGGGTCCCACATTAACTAGACAATCTGCTCAAAGATGGCGGTAAGGTTGTCAGCCTTACACGCTGGCTGTGCTTTAGTCCCCAGGAAAATTAATTCCTGGTACTCATTTCTGTTAGAGGCTGAGTCAACTCCAGGGCCATAGTGCATCTGGAATGATTTGGTCAATTGAAAAAATCCAGTGACCTCATCAGGACGTGAACCTGTGACCTTCTGGCTTGTAGCATAGCTCCTCAACCAACTATGCTACCAAGTGCCCCCATATACAGTGGGTGCTTGATTGAATATGTGTAAACATATATAAGCAAGACTACACAACTTGTGAAAGGTGCCTACAAGAAGATGAATCAGCCACACACATCTTATGTGATTGTGAGGCTATAGCTTACCTAAGATATGGTCACCTGGGTCAATTTCTTCATGGAACCAAGAGACTTTTATGATGCCCCTATGAATAAAGTCCTACATTTCATTCAAAGAGTAGGATTTTTTTTTAATTCGCTTAGTGGGGGTTGGAGTCCAATTGGGTCCACTCTGCATGGCGGCCAGTGATTGGCCTATTGTTGCCTGCCCCGGGTGATTATGATGATGGAGAGTTTGAATGAATGTATGTATAAAGGGTGGGCCTTCTTGGCCTTTGCACCGAGACCACAGTGATCTATTGTGCCTCCCCTTTTGATTATCCCCTCAACAATCCTGTGCTTCGAATGAAGCGTAGGATTTTGTACGTGGGGACATTGAAATAGTCACTTGGTTCCATAAAATATTGACTCAAGTGACACAATCTTAAATAAGATAGGGCCTCACATTCGCACAGGATATGTGTGGCTGTTTCATTTTCTTCTTGACACCTCTCACAAGTGGGACTATCACTTAGTCCCAGTTTGAAGAGGTGTCCTTTAAGGTGACAGTGTCCTGTAAGTAGTCCCACCACCCATTGTAGCTGGTTCCTGTTTAACTTCAACAGTTCCTTCACTCTTTTAGTAGAGGGTCCTCGTATGAGTCCCTTTGCTTGCCTGAGTCCAGTCAAGGATCCCCAGTATATCTTGTGATTCATATTTGTTCCATCCCTGACTGCCTTTCTGGCAACTCCTATAGAGATGCCACAGGCTGGTTCAGGTCTTATGAACATTTGTTCAGCTCCAGTCTTGGCCAATTGGTCTACTGTTTCATTTCCAGCAATACCCTCATGCCCCTGCACCCATATCAGTTGTACCCTCTTATGTTTGGCCAGTTCCATGAGAGTTTGGTGGCAATCCCAGACCAATTTTGAGTTGATCTGGTTGTCAAGAGCTTTAAGTGCAGCTTGGCTGTCAGATAGAATGTAGATGTTCCTATTTCTGTAGTTCCTATCTAGATTCTCCATAATACATGCCTTAATGGCATAATACTTCTGCCTAGAATACTGTTGTGTACTGCCCAAGGCTGAAACTAAGTTTCCACCTCGCGCCATAGCAGAACACACCAGCTCCAGTGCCCTTATTTATCTTGGAACCATCTGTATACCATATCAGTCCCCCTTTTCTATCAGGGCCGAAACCGTCTTCCCATTCACTCCTGTCGGGAAATCTGACTGTGAAGGCTTTTTCATATACATGTCTCAGTATCATTTTGTCAGACCCCATTTGTAATATGGGTTCTTTTTTCATGTCCTGAGTTATGTGTGCATGTCCGAAACTATTGGATTTAGGTTTCCATTGGTCACTGCACTGGAGACGGTAGATTCCTGCCCTGGCCTCTGCCTCCAACTTAGATGCAGTGGGGGGAGTCCAAGGGGTGTCTCCAGTGCAGCTGTTGGACATGTTTGAATTGCTCCTGTGATACCCAAGCAAGCCAACCTTTGCAATTTGCTAAGTTCTGCCCTGCTTGTCTTGAGTTTAACTCTGGGCCACCATACTGTGGCGCTGTTTCTAATTATATATATATCCAATGCACAGTGTGCGGATGCAGTTCACGTTTTACCACACATGCTTCTGCATGTCCAAAAAGCCTTATAGGCTTTGTTAATGACCTTGTCCAGCTGCTTTTTCTGTGTCGGTGCCTTGTCTTATACTAGACCAAGGTACTTGACATCGCTGGAGAGCTGGATCATCTTATTGAAGAGGGTCGGTTCCTTAAGGCCATTTATATTTCTCTTCCTGATAAACGGTATAATTACTGTCTTATTAGGATTGATGGAAAGGCTTGTTCTTTCACACCATTATTGGGCCATGTACAGAGCTCTTTGAAGATGCTCTGATACTGTTGAAAGGAATTTTCCATTTATGAGGATTGCTATGTCATTAGCATATCCTACTGTATAATACCCATCATCATTAAGTCCCCACAGGAGATCGTCGACGAGACTCCACAGCAGAGGCGAAAGTACGCCCCCCTGCGGACATCCCCTAGACATGGACGCCCCCAGGGTTTCTCCTCAGCATAGCATTGCTCCACCTGCATATTGCAGGCTCTGTGCCATGCCTTCCAGCAGCCTGTTTTATTACATCAAATGAGGTTCTATCAAAAGCTCCCTCTATATCAAGGAATGCTCCTAAGGCAATATCCTTGTGTTCAGTTGCACTTTCTATGTGTGTTACCATATTGTGTAGTGCACTTTCGGTAGATTTACCTGTTTGGTAGGCATGTTGGTTTCGGTGTAGAGAATATGTCCTCAATACCCCATCCCTGATATGCCTATCCACTAGTTTCTCCATCGTTTTCAAAAGGAAAGATGACAGGCTGATAGGACGATAAGCCTTAGCCTTGGTATAATCAAGTTTCCCGGGCTTTGGAATAAACGTCACCTTAACGTGCCTCCAGGCTGTGGGGATGAAACCATATGTCATGCAGGCTCTATATATGCGGCATAGGTGTGGAACTAAGAGTTCTGCCCCTTTGCTGAAAAGTGCCAGTACAGTTCCATCTGTTCCCACTGACTTAAATGGTCTAAAGGCATTCAGTGCCCATCTGATTTTTGATTGGTTAATTTCGACTTTGGCCAGGTTCTAGTCTACCCTGTTGTTCTTACTTTGGCAAGTGCCCAGGTTTTGCTGTCCCTGTCCATCCAAATTATCAATCAGTTTTGAATCAGGAAAGTGAACCCTGAATAATTCATTCAATGTCTCCCTTCTTATTTGAGTATACTGCCCATTAGGCAGCTTAATTGTGCTGACCTTGTTGGTCACCTCTTTTGCCATGATTCTCATGAGTCTGGCACCGCCTGATCTCCTGGCAGTGCCTCCTCCATGAGGATTGCTTGGCTTTCCTTATTTCTTTGTTGTCGCAGGTAAGGGCTTCCTTGTAGGTGTCCCACTGCCCTGTTCTTTTAGCTATATTAAACAGCCTTCTCATTTTGGTTCTCAGCCCACTCAGCTGTTTATTCCACCAAGGCACTCTCCTTGCTTTCAACCGTTTCTGCTCATTGGTTTGCAGATATTTTTGTTTTTGCAAGGAGTTTGGTACCCCATTAGTCTCTCACTGTATTTCTTTACATGGCCTTTTGGTATATTATAATTACCCTGAATTTTTTCATTTCCTCCATCCTAATATATATATAATACAAGGATTTTGGAGAGACTTTATGTTTATCTGAATATTTGCTGTGATTGAAGTTAAGCTGACTAGCAAACAGTTTGAAGAATCCGTCCCTGAGAAATCGTTCAAGTGCTTCAGAAATACAGTAACATTTTGTATAAATCCACTGCAGTTTGATATTTGTTCAGGCACATTTAAACCTGGATTTTATGCTTCTGAAGGGATCACCTGAAATGAAATTGAGAAAGTTTTTAGTAAGCAACTAATGACAGTGGTGCAACATAAAGATCTTGGTTGCTTTTACCATATCTTTTGCAGGCCTTCTAAAGTATACATGTTTGAATGCAGTAACAATGTAAATGCAAATGTACTTACTTATGTGCCATGTCATTTCTTAGCTAGTGAGACAGAATCATTGCCTAGTGAGACAGAATCATTGCCTTTTCTTGGGTTCTCTGTCAATATAGATCATTTCATGAAGTTCAGAAAATTTCACATTCAGGAATGTTCCCATTTTACCAGGATAAATCTTCAGCATGAGTGAAATGGTGCTAATATTCATTTAATTTTTCAAACAAGACGTTTGATGGATTGTTTAGAAAACCAGTTCAGTTCTCATGACCTTTGTGACAAATTCCATGACCAGTGCGTGGAGACTTTAGAGTCCAAGGCCTGCTCACATATGCAGATGACACCCCATTGGAAAAAATAGGGCTATGTGACACATAGAAAGTAGTAAAGACACTCCCAGGTTTTCCTGGACCTTGGTCATGGCATATACTGAAGCAAAGTTGAAAAGCATTGGTCATAAAGCATCTCCTTGTTGTAGACCATTCTGAATAGGAAATGTACTGAACAGTATATCGTAACATGGATTCCCATTACGAGGCAGCAGCTCTATAAACAGATTCTTGGTAAACAGCTGGGTAATGCATACAACAGTATGCTACAAAAATTAGAGGTGTTTTCTGTGTGGTCTGTACGGAGTCTGTATAATGACAGTCTGTACCTAGGATTAGGTTAGAGAGGACTGGAAGATTGGAGAACTACGTCAAGTTCTGGAGGGCATTCCAAGGTGATTGAACAAGAAATGGCAGAAGACTTCCTAGTGATTCGAAGTGATAGCTCCTGTGTTAAAACCCATTTCCAGGAAATGGAATTTGAAGACATTGTAAAGGCCTAGTCATTGTTGAGATCTCTTACATAGCAGTAGTTAAAGCAGATATAGAAGGCTTTATGTGTTATAGTTACAGTAATCTTCAGAGTGTTATAATAACTTGTATTTATGACTTGTGAGTATCCAATGAATCGATTCACCAGTCCAAACCCTGTCTACAAGTCACTAATACACGAGACAATATTACCTTTATGGACTTTATTATAGGTTTCATTTAATCACATTTTAATCAACCGGGGTAGTTTATGGCTACTCCCAAACTCTATGAGAATATTGTACAATATTTCCTTCCAAACTAAATCATAGATTTTCTTGAAGTATTTGAATAGCTAATGTACTGTTTTATTCTACTCCCATTTTTCCTCCAATATTTGACAAATGCAAGGGATCTGATTAGTAGTTGATCTGTTACAAGGAAACCCACACTAATTGTACTAAATAATTTGGACTCCATATGGATTTAACCTTGAGAGAAGGATATTGGATAAAATGTTGTATGAAGTTGATAACAGTGATATGTCTTGATAATTAACTGCAGTCAGTCCATTTGTTCATCTTGTAAATTGGTGTTACACCAGACTCCTTCCACTGCTTAGGCAGTTTGTTCAGTGTTCCAAATAGAATTTATGAGTTCATGGATCTTAGAGTGTAATACATTACCTCCTGTTTGACTTGGTTTTGCTGGAATTTGATCAGTACCCAGTGATTTATGCCTTTTCAACTTTGCAATGGCAATTTCAACATCAGAAGTACTAGGCTCAGGTACTGATGGTTCAGCTGTAGGTATTCCTGTCTGTCTGACGTCACTGACCCCATGTACATTAAAATCAAATGTTTATGTGAAATATTGTTTATTTGATGCTGACTTCAGGTGATCAAGATAAATGGGGCACTGACAGATATTTTTATGTCATTTTCTCCTGCTTCAAAAGGAAGTGGGTGAATACGACATGCATGGATTTCAGGACATGTATGTCGGTTCATATTGAGCCTGGGCCCATACTATTCTGGCTTCTTAAGCTTTTCCTTATGTATGGATTTTGACATGTGTGTCAGGTCACAATATAGCCTGGCATACTGTTTTAACATCATTTTATACATGCATTCTAGGACCTTCTTATCAGGCCCTATTACAGCCAGGCATAATACTTTATGATTTAGACTTAGTTATATCGATGTCAATCGATTTACAATGAAAGATGATTTATTTAATTTAATTTTTTATTTTTTTGAAGACTTGTAGTAGTGTGGATTTTCAGCTTGCTACTTAGTATGGGTGCAAATAATCATTGAACCTGATGTGCTTTATAAAGTCATGCACTCCTCAGGATGGTAAGACATTCATAGTCCAGTATGATACAGTGTAAGACTTTCATGCATCATTAATCATGATGGGTGAGTCAAGAAAGCAAGACAAATGAAAAAGATATGCAAAAGATAAATTGAAGAGAGTAGGTTGGATATTTAGAAGCAATTCAAGACTGTGGTCAGCTTCACGCCCTGGCATCTTTATGCTTTAGGAGGAGCTCCCAGCACCTGTTGGGTAGGAGATAATATATGTATATGTTCTGAAAGATCAGATGTTTCCTACACAACATGCAGGTTCTAAATTTAAATTTACTAAATATGTGAAGAAATGATTGGGGAATCTTCGTTCCCAGGATTAACATTGAAAACATTGGTTGATTTCATCTAATTCATAAGTATCTTCAGGCATTTTATGCACATTTAAAAATGTTGGATAATGTTATAGAGTTTGTACAGGGGAGGGTCTGTATCAAATGCTCTAACCATCGTTTGCTAGGCAACGTTTCGGTAAACACCACTTGAAAGCAGGAATAGCAACAAACAAGCAGAAGTCCGTTTGCTAGGCAGTGACTCGCTAAAACTGATTCTCATGTCTGCAGAGATTCAGCAAAGGTTTCCATGGGTACGAGGGATCTTGGGATCCCCAGCCGTTTCCGCTACAACGGATACAGGAGACCAGTAGCTTTTGTTTAGTCCTCCAGAACTTATAAAAGAGAGTTTATTCATTTCTTTCAGTCAGTCATTCAGAATAGAATTCAGAAGGCAGTTCAATAGTTGAATATTCAGCTGTGAAGTGTTAGCCAGGTAAGATTCATTTCTGAGCAGTGACTAGCAATCAGACGTTGAGGGCTTAATTTTGTATGCTACAGTTACAGTAATCTGTTGAGTGTTAAGTTTATCAGATGCAGTTTTATGTTTTTATCTATGTTCACGCCGTCTTTCAACATTTAACTTTGTTCGTTTGGGTACATTATTATAGTCATCTTCTAACCGCTTCCTTTTTCTGTACTCTGTTATATATGCATATGGCTATTACCAGCGGACATCTTATCAGTGCGTGACATCATACACTGGCAGCTTGCCTATAGTATTTCGTTATCCACTAAACAGTATAATTGAATTAGTTATATTTGTTACAAACGAATGGTCATAACTCTTAAACCATAAGTGATCGACCAGACGAGTTGCATTTTTGAGAAGGTCCCATTTATTAACGTATTTCACTGGCAGTTTGTCCAGATCCAGCTATGTGTTTCACTGAGCATGTTTCCAAGGTAACAAAGTCAACAGTAGAACTTCAGTTACTGAGTAGTGAAGGTTTCAGTAATTACAAAATGTTACAATTTCTGTTATGGACAAATTGTTGCATTTTCTGGTACGGTTTCCTTCCATTTGAACCCTCATATAATGCTGTCCACATTAAAACAGTATAAGTACTATGTTTTTGGTGATTATCCATCATCTTGTCTATTTTTAAAAAATCATCCTGTTTCTGTTTTAAAACAACGTTTTGGAGACTGGATTCTGTCCCCCGTCCTCAGGTAAAACCTACTATCTCCAGAGATAGGGGCTACTTCTATCTATTGGACCCAACTGAGTAGGTTTTACACGAGGATGGGGACAGAATCCAGTCTCTGAAACATGTTTTAAAGTAGAAACAGGACGGTTTTTTAAAAACAGACGACGATGGATAATGTCCAAAAACATAGTACTTATAGCAGTTTACCGTCCTCACAAACTTTTAGATCTTATTAAAACAGTGTGTTCATTGTCCGTATTAGGCTTTACCTGAGACCAGGGAAACATACTAAATGCAGGAACATGAAATTGGTATTTCACTGCATTTAAAGTTTAAATGTTATATACAATGTTGTTGTCTTGCTTGTAGGTTATTCCAACTATCGCAACAACCAGCGCAGCTCTGCAACAGGCTGGTGTGACACGCATACTCAATATTGCATCATCTCCAAGAGTCAACGTGGTTGGAGTGTCACAGGTTCCAGGACGGGGAGGAACATTGCAACTTGCTGCCAGTAATGCAGGGAACAGTGGCACAGGTGACTCGCCAGGACGAGGCACAGTATCACTTGTTGCCATTGGTCAACCAGCAGCGGTTAATGCTTCATCGCATCCAACTTTAGTCAGTTCCTTGTCATCCCCACCCCGGCAGAGGACTACTAGTGGTGCTATTGGTATTGTACAATCACCTCCGACACTAGTGTTAACATCTACACCAAATTTGGTGCGAACTTCTAATGGATCTTTTACCACACCATTGTCCTCTGCTGCAAATATCGTGTCAAGTCCACAGTCCTCATCCCCAGTGAGAAAAAGAATGCGACTATCAGAACTTCAAGAGAGAGCACCACCAAATGAAGAAATTGGAACTTTAAGGAAGAGAGTGTTAGAATACAAGACAGTGCGTATGCATGGTGACAGGGAACGGTATGCAGAACATGCTTCGGAATTGTTCTTCTTACAGGCCGGTGGAAACATGATGGACTATCACACTTGGCGTAAACGACCATCCACTCCTCAGTTCCTACACTTTCTTAGATCTCATCGTTTGGATCCTGAAGACGATGATGAAGATCTTACTTCATTGTTATGTGCAGCATCCACATCAGGATCTTCTCAGTCCTCTCACAGTACAGAGCTCAAGATCCCAGGAGTGGGGTCAACTCCAGTAGCAATTTCCACGACTCTTCCTCCTACTGTGGCTCAACTTAACCAGCATGGTACGTACCATTAGCTACTTATTTTTGTTGGGATAGTATATTTTATAGTTGTAGTATCAGACATGTCTTCCGTGGAGGTGGGTTAGAATACCTACACCATAGGCCTTGTTGGGAATCAAAGCGATGACCTGGCTTGTAGTGTAATGCCTCGACCAACTACACAGCAATGTGCACCACTGTTTGGTCTGCAGCCTACAATATTTTTAGTCTGGTTTCTGAAAGAAAACCAATGCAGTTGAGCATTTGTATCTCTGTGTATTGTTAGGGAAACAGTTTTTCTTGGATTATTATGAGTATTTTATACACACCTGTGAAGTACATTGTTGATTGTGCACTCGCACATATATTTTTATCCCCCACTGAACACTTCTGTTTATAGGTGTCATCTTGATACTTGCTACTGTGATCATGCCATTAACTATAATCCTGATGCCTTATTTCATAATGTTCTGACTGCAGGATCAAGATGTGACCTCACATTGTTATGAAAGTAAAAAGGCAAAACAAACAGCCTCTGTTAGTGTAAGCTTTGCCCAGAATGTTCTGTTTGAGAATAGAGCAATAGACATTCTGGCATATAGGCCTGTTGCTAAGCAGTGACTCTGTAAACAGTAATTGTTGTGAGGTAATGCCCACAACATGAATGCAACAGTAGAGCTACTGTTGGAAATGGTGTGTTTTATGTGTGGTTTTCACTACCACCCTTTCTTGGCAGTAGATCGGTAAGTGGGTCCTGGGGTTAGTGTGCATGCAACAATGAAGGAACAAGGGTTGCTCTATGTAGTCTTGTGCCGAGAAGTTGTAACCAGGACAGTTGGAGCAATGAGTTAGTTTAGTTCTGTATGGGAGACTATGAAGAAAAGAGTTAGTTGCAAGAGTGCATGTGCAAAGGAGAGATTGTGTCATATTTGGAGTGTGTAATTCAGTGAAACTGTTACAGTTCTTGTGTTAGAGGAGGCAGACTGAGGACACAAGTCTGTGTTTATCAGTGATCTGTAAAGAGTAATCACAAGTTGTGAGTGTATAAGTGGTCAGTAATTCTAGTCACCAGTCCGAATCCTGTCTATAGTTACTCCTAAATTGTGACAGCCGGTGTCATAAGTGGGATGAATTGGAAGCAGCGTTGGATCTTGTGTGTTATACCACCATACAACAACGATGGAACTATTGTGGAACGCTTGCTAGCAAAAATGGATGGCAACCAAGTAGATATAAGAACCAACCGAGAGGAAATAAGAACAAACTAGATGAAAGCAGATGCCAATCTAAGGGATGTGAAACAAGAAATGAGAACTGGCCAGTAACTCCTGAAAGAAACAAAAATGCTGGCTAAAATGGAAACCAACTGGGAAAAGATGGGTGCCAAGATGGACTGCAGTGAAGAAAAGAAGCCAGGATAGATGCCAATAAAGAGAAGTTTGAAGTCCTTTGAGGTACTGTTGTCACCTGGATTGATATCCACCAAGCCTGGATGGTGCCCAATGAAGCAGAAATGAATGCCAAGATAGATATACAACAGGAGACGGTGGAAGCATCAATACACTTCATCTAGTCCGAATTAGAAGAAACCATTAAACATTGGATGGAAGGAGTCATGTCAACCAAAAGACGCAGGGCATCTGCAAGGACCTGGTTGAGAAGATTGATGAAACACAGGTGAGCTTACAGCCCATGAGGACATTCGTTGATATGCAAACAAAGAGCCTCTTGGAAATCGTAACATACACAAGGGAGCACCTTTATGGAGAGCTTGGCCTCATGATCCAGATATATATACAGGAATTGCCAATGAAGTTGGAATGGTGACAGAGTAACAACAGAGAAGTGGACAGAAACAAGGAGGGGCCGGCGAAACGGGTGCATGCTAGTGTATGCATTAAGGTCCGACCATTACGCATTGACTGTCATAGAAATGGGTGACCATAGCCCGTCACTTAGGGCTGGTTCCGTAATTAATCATGCCTTGTGATTGTGGAGCCGGGGTGTACGTGGCTGTAGCCAGGCCCAACATTGCCAACGGATGGCTTGAAAGACAGCCAAACCCACACTATGCACTGCAGATGATCTCTGGGTAAGCCCTCCCCATCTTAAAGGAAGTTTTTTGGACACTGACCCTAGGGTGGTTGTCACTCATAATTTGGGTATTCCTTGCCAGTATCACAAATGAAGTTATCTTGGGGCTGGACATTACTGAACACATATGATGAATATGTGGACCTAGGGCGCTAGATGCTGCATCTTGCAGAGGAAGAGGTATTGCTATGGATCCTGGGGGTGGGGGTCTGGCCTTCCAACCGGGCAGTAGCCAAAGATCAGGTGATATCTGCACAGTGTGAGGGAGTAGTGATTGCTAGATTTGAGAATCCACTTGGAGTGGAAAATGACCTGGTAGAACTGAGTCTGGAGGCCCATCCACCCAGAGGACTCCTCATAGCTAGCACCCTGGTCCAAGATCACTGGGAGGTACCCGTAAGGGTCATGAATGCTACCTATCATGACCAGAAGATCACTAAAGGATCCCACCAGCGCACTGTGACTGAGTCACTCTGGTGACCCTAACTGATGTGGAACCACCACAGGTCCGAGATGCTACCCTGTAGTTACAGGATGTGATTGATGTGCCCAAGCCTAACCTGCATAATGCTGAATACCGAGAGTTCAAAGAACTCACTGAGTATCGAGACATTTTTGCTATGGACAGACCAACAGTGTACGACTGTATGGATATTGGAGAGGCTTGATTGATCCGCCAATCCATGAGGAGACTCACCCTGGCAAAACAGATGTGGGTGAGATGCTCAAGGATGTTCAGTGATGTGTGGCTTGCTCATTCTTGTCCTAAAGAAGAGCAAGGACTTGCGCTTCTGCGTAGACTTACTTGCTTACTCATGGAGCTGAGCCCTTCTTGAGGAACCACCAATTCTGCAGCTACTCAAGAATTTCCCAACATTTTATGGAACCAGAAGGTTCATACTGTGTTCACAAGAGCCCTCCACTGGTCCCTGTCCTGAGCCACATCAATCCAATCCATACCATCCCATCTTATCTCTCTGAGATTCATTTTAACACATTGCGGACCGGACGGGCCATATGGCCCTCTATGTTTCCAAGCGTTGCGGACCGGGCGGGCCATATGGCCCTCTACGGTCACGTTATGTTGCAAAACGCTATATATTGCTGTGTGGCTTCGTTGAATTGTAACTACTGCGTAGATAACCTCGGGAATGATTGCTGCCTTATCAAGTAACTCGACCAGAGTCATTTCCTGTCACAACCTAAACAAAATTGGCTTTGTTCTAATCCAAGCTTGCACGTATGAACCACGCAGCTACCAGTTCAACATGGCTCAGAGACGAAAGCAGTTGCGATCTCTCGGAGGACAAGAAATATTAGATATGTTCTCCGATGAGCTATCAGATTTGCCAACTGCTTTGTCTTCTGATAGCGAGGCCATTATCAGTGACAGTGACAGTGATGGGGGCCACAGGGCTGCCCAAAATGTGTCAAGTGAAAGTGAGAGCTCCGTTGAAAGTGCGAGTGTCAGGACAGCTACATGGGATAAAGTGGACAAAACCCCCACTTTGNAAGGAGTTGATAGGGCCGACCAGTTCTTGGCCTATTATTCCCTTCCTAGGAAAACAGTAAAATGGACGAAGAAAGTTGCACTGTGGCTTATAAACTGTGCAATTTTCAATTCATCTACAGTTTTCAAAAAGGTGAACAGAAATTCTACTTTGAAATACAAAGCATTTCTGTTAAAACTGGCAAAAACTTGGGCTACTGACGTCACGGTGGCGGCAGTACCTGCGTCAGACACAGACGTAGTGCAGCCGGGGCCATCTGATCGCACCCGCCAGAGGCCTCAAGTAGACCCCCCTGGCCGACTCTCGGGTGATATGTGGAAACATATTCTCGTGAAAATTGTGAAGAGTGAATATTGCAAGAAGAAACACCCTTCTAGGCAGTGCCATGTGTGCGCAGAGCACAAGAAGAAGAGTAGAACTGTCCACATGTGCAACTTCTGCCTAATGCCTCTTCACAAAGTGGAATGTTTCCAGAGATATCACATGCGCAAGCACTTCTAGGAGCTCTGGTAAGTGTTCTCCAAAAATTTCAGTTCATAAAATTTATTAGGAGATTTTATATTAATTTTTAAAATGAACAGTGCACAAGTTAGGGTAGTAGGTTTAAAAACGCCGGTCCCCAGGGTGATTTAAATGTTTAAACCACCGGTCCGCAATGTGTTAATATTGTCCCCTCGGTCTTTCCAGTGGTCTCCTTCCATCTGGCTTTCCAACCAATATCCTATATGCATTCATTTTCTCCCCCATTTGTGCTAGATGTCCTACCCACCTCATCCTCCTTGACTTGATCATTCTAAATTCTGTGTTTGTTTCTTATGTTGTGTACTTTCTGATATACTAACCACATAAATTATTTGTTGGCCAGGTGGTACTCCATTAATTCTTGAACCTGGAACTCCTACCAACCTCAACAGTGTTACATCAGGAATGGGAAGTACACCAGGATTGAGTATTGTAAATGAAAAGGGCTCAGTTCCAGTTCTGAGTCCATCTAAGCTGAATAAATTACCACTAGTGGCTCCCATGTCCCGGCAACATACGAGACAACATTCCATTTCGGCTGTGTATGATACTTCAATCGGAAGCCAAGAACAAATTGCGGAGAAAGCAAAACAAGTAAGTTTTGATAATGAATGGAGAATAACTACAAAATGGAGTACCTTCTTGAACCATTGTTATAAACAACTAGGGTAGTCTGCATCATATTATAAATACTTTTTAACCATTAGAACTTCTGTAATCTTATAATATACCGTATTTACGCATGTATAGGCCGCACATTTTTTGCCAAAAATTCAAGAGGAAAACTGGGGTGTGGCTTATATTCGAAATATTCAAAATCACACTTCATTTAAAAAAATATATATTCATAATTAGTAATACAGGGTGTAATACTCCTGAAATAATATTCCAAGAAAATTATTTTTTCTATAGCTTCTGTCTGAAAATTGTGCTGCGGCCTATACACGCACCCGGCCTATACATGCGTAAATACGGTAATATATGATCATATCTCTGTATTAATTTTGAAATTTAGTTGAAAAATATGCCCACATTCATTTGGTGATGACATTTGAAATGTAGAAAAGTTCTTGTGTTGTGAACTGATCTGTTAACATGAGGCATTTGTCTGAAAATGAATGTGGAGCTTTGTTGGAATGTTTCTTATTGCAGTTACGAGATAATTAATCTGGGGTATCAGAATTTCTCATCTGTCTTACTATGTATGATTGAATAAACTGTTAGTTTTAGCTGATGGGGGCAAATTGATGAATTGGACTGTATTAATATTTTTTCATAAATTAAAGGGTCAGAAACCATTCATTTCAGGTTAAAGAACATATTCCTTTTGCTAGTGAAGATATTGCTGATTCCTACTGTCATGTGTTCTGATACTGAATTTATAAAGATTGGTCCTTTGAGTCTCCTATTCAAAGAAAAAAAATACTGTTCCTTCCTATGTACTGTAGTTCATTTTAGAATAGTAGAAGTTTTGCAGGGTTTGAAAATTTGAGAGGGTTGTCTACATTTAAGCTTGATTTGTTCATTATACATGTAGTGATTAAAAAGAGCGAAGTATGAAAATTTTTAAGTACTGTATTTGTAAATATTCAGAGGGTTCTTGTTTCAAAAGACACTTTTTATTCATATTATATATTGTCATGAAGAAGGAAAACTGTTAGTTGTTACTCAGATTGATGGTCGCAGCAAAAATCAGTGTCACTGTTCAGATTAAAACCCCTAGTAAAGTGCATCTGTTTTATTTGTGGTCTGTTTAACCACTCAGGTTGTTATAACATCTGTAGACATCATGTGGTACTGTGTATCGTAGTGACTATGACGTCTTTAGATGTTATGCATATTTCTAACTGTTTTGTTGGCGATATAATGCCAGTCAGCAATGCAAACATGTACATTGTGCTTCCAAGATGTGACAGGAAGTGGTAGATTGCTTGATAGCTGTTCTCGGTTTGAGTTCTTTCGACTAAACATTATAGCAGGTCCTAATGAGAAGATGGATGTAAGTGATGAAGAGATTTTTATGAATTGTTACAAGAGAATAAATACAGTGATATTTCAGAGAGTGACTATTGTAGTGATAGTGAAATAAATGTGAAAATTTTGTCAGGTGTTGAACAGAATGTCAGCTCTGATGAAGCAGAAAACGTCAGTGACAACAGTAGCATGTAACCTGATATATGGGAAATTAACATTATTGTGGAAGTAATAGCAAGAGAAATCAGTATGTCCAAAAATTTTTAGGAAAAAACAACTAATCTAAAACTAAAATCTAGGACCCATCACTGGAAGGAGCTGAAGAGAATTGAAATAATGAAGTTGCTGGAATTCTTTCTGTTAGAAGGACTTCACCAGAAACTGGATAACAAGAGCTATTTTTTCCTGGGAAAAATTGTTGAAATGCCCGTATTTTTGGTGCTTTTCAGTGAGATGAGGTTTCACCTTCTACTAAAGTTTCTTCATTTTGTTGACAATGAAAGTTACAATGAGGCCACTTGCAGTTCCAAAAGACTCTATACACTGTAACCCATACTGGATCATCTAAGTGCCAGATTTAAGAGTCTATGTACCCTAGAGTTTGCTGTATCAGTAGGTGAATCTTTGATGATGATGGAGGGACATTTGTCATGGAAGGTATACATTCCTTCAAAGTGTGCCAGATTTTGTTTAAAATCATTGAATTATGTGAAGCCAAATCTGTTTATGAATGAAATTTTATTATTTACACTGCTCATAGTATCTGCCACTTGAGTTGCAGCAATGTTTCTGGTGATATAGTCGTTTTAGTGATTATTTCAAAGTCTGTTAAAGATTGGGATTTTGCAGCTGATGTTTGGAAGAATAGTTCATCCATACCAGTCTTCAGCTTGCCAAGAAGTACAATTTCAGCCAACATGGCAACAAGACACTTTATTTTTCAATGAGGCATCCATGGTGTCACAATAAGTCAAGCTGGGAGTGTGTGTTTTCACTAGAAAGACTTGTCAGCCAACTGCTATGATCATGTTTCGTTTCTAAACACCAGCGACTGGTAAAGATGACATTTTATTGAATGTGTATGACTCGGGCATACATACGAGATCACGTATTTTGAATGGAAATGAAAGTCAGTGGTGAGAGTGGCAGATTTATGGAGGATAATGCAAAAAATACCAAATTTTACTAAAAATATATATACGAGTATATAAACTTTAATGTAATATCTGTGGAAATGAAAATACAGATATGTGAAGTTTGATAATTGGTCTTTCAGGGGCTTTTTATTCCATAATTTTATAATGACATGATTGAAATTGCATTTTAAAAAGTAGCAAAAGTTATGAAACTAAATGCTGCAGTGACAGATTTAAATGTGTGGGGAATTTAATGTGCGTGAGAGAAAAGGGAAACACTTGACTGGTTAACGCCATCAGTAGCTTACATATTATGGTGTTAGATGGTAGAATGATCAATTTTTTTTATTGCTAGTGGGGTAGGACTAACTCTCTTGTACTGCGGCCACTTCTGGCCTATTGTACCAGCCCCAGATTATAGGCGAGGGTGATCGTGGAACAGTTGGTGGAATGAAGATTGGCAGGGGAAACTGAAGTACTCAGAGAAAACCTGCCCCAGTGCCACTTTGTCCACCACAAATTGCACCTGAGCAGACCCGGGATTGAACCCGGGCCGCCCGGGTGGGAAGGCAGCGACTAACTGCTTGAGCTATGGCGTGGCCGAGAACGATCAGTTAGTAATGAATTCAAAAGGGTGTGGAAGAACAGTCTTGATCTAAATTGAGATACTGTCCCGGCATTGCAAAACTTTGGTCAGGATAGCGGATATTCAGGCTTAGATGTTGGCCTGGACCTTACTGGATACTGAGCAGGAATGTGAACTACAGCACTTGAGACATTCAGATTAGTGAAATAACAGCTCACAGTGTTATGTGTTAGATATTGTATCAGCAAAATTGCTTTAATACATGTATTGATTTGAGACTGGTCTATAATATTCATGTGGTGTCTTTGTAAATTATTGCAGGAAGCATATGTAATGCAGAGGATAACTGAACTTCAGAGGGAAGGTTTATGGTCTGAGAAGAGGCTTCCAAAAGTTCAGGAACCTCCAAGAGTGAAGGCACATTGGGACTACCTCATTGAAGAAATGATATGGCTTGCAGCTGACTTTGCCCAGGAAAGAAAATGGAAGAAAGCTGCAGCAAAGAAGGTTGGTTCCAGATATATTTTTCTTAATGTATGATGTTACATTTTTTGGCAGCAAGTTTCCTTATGTGCCCCATCTGCAGCAACTGTTGTGTAAATGTGAACAGATGCTAAATATTCAGTGGGTCCTGTCTGGATCTTCATGGAGTGAAGATAAAATGGTGCTGCTTAAGATGAACCACGCCCAAGCACTCCAAAATTGACTGCGACAGTTTTGTTAATGGGTTTTCTTCTGAGTTTGCATTACTTATCTTATATCCTATTCATAACACAGATACATATTGCACCTGGCACTTCCATACCAGTTGCATTGCAAGCATTTGTGTGGAATCAGAAGAGCCACTTCTTCTCCTGCTGAGGGACCTCATCTGCAGTTATGCATCCACACTCACAGCACATCCAGATCACTCATCTATTAGGGTAGTTTCTGACCAACTTTCGGTTACAGATACAAGGTCAACACTTGTGACTCCTTGACCACTGGGGTTAAGGGTGTATTGCACACCACATAGCTTGTCACTACGAGACCATCCAGTCAGTCAACCCATCTGGACTCCTGTTATCACAGAAGAAGTCAAAAAACTAAAACTCCGTCCAGTGTAGATTGAGTGGGAAAATTGGGTATGTTGTCGCCATTGGTGCGATACACGTTTTCTGAGCCTAGCAACTTTTTTAAGTTACTGTTACCTATGAGTATGAAGGGTGAGCCATAGAAACCGGTCCTCGCACTGCAACCTTCAATGATCTGTTGTGCTTCCCCTTTGGATTAATCCTTTATTAATCCTACACTTCAAATGAAATGCTCTTACATAATAATGGACATTTTTTGTCATGTCACATTGCTTTTGCCTTGAGGCTGCTTTGTCTCAGGTAGCTTTTAGACATATTTTAGTTTCCTCTTTTAGGAGGTCATGTGTCTGTGACATCTGTGATGGGTCTGGTGAATGGCACTTTAACATCATGCTGTGGTTCCCTAACTGCTCCCCGCTTAAGCCTGCTCATCCTGTACAGTTCCATTATTGGGCGCTAGCCAGTCCATGTGTGCTACCATAATCCTTGTTTTGGGATGGAGCTGAACCCTGTATGCCACAACATTGATTCGGGTGACTACCCTGTAGGGTCCATCCTGTGAAGACTTGGGTGCTTGGGTGACTTTCCTTTAGTGCAGGTTGGGCCATATAACCACACTTGGTCACCCTATTGGTAGCCTGGTCAGTTTGCTAGACAGTTGTAGCAGGTTTTCATTTGATCACTGGTCAGCTTCAGATGTTGGCAGGTGTAATTGAGGATGTGTACCTATTTCAAAACATCTGCCATGTGGTTGATAGTGGGTCACTTCCTGTAGGTGGTGCCCTGAATAGGTCACAGGGCAGGAGTAGTTCTCCTGAACATGGGCTAGCTGAGGTGAAGCCCGTAGTGTCGTGAGTAGATGCCCTATAGGCAAAGAGGAAGACGAGCAAAATTGCGTCCCAGTCCCTCTTATGCTTCTTGACAGATTTTCTCAGGTAACCCTCAACTGTTTTTTGATACAGTGCTCCACCATGTCATCTGACTGCAGGTGCAGGGGTGTGATGTGTCTTGCTCACTCACAGGCATTCCAGAACTTCTTGCATTAGGCAGAACTCAGGGTTACAGCCCTTGTCACTGTGTAGCTCTCACTGTACTCTGAAGTGGCAGAGGATGTGGGTAACTGGTGCTTCCTCCATCGGCAACACTTCTCGGTTGGGGATGGCATAGGTCTCCAACTGCTTGGTAAAATAGTCCTTAAAGGTAGAAGATAACCCTGCCCCTGTAACAGGCTCTGGAGGGTTGTGAGATATCAAGGTTCCCACATTTTCTAGACAGTTGGCTGACAGATGGCAGTGAGGCCAGCTTTATGTGTGGGTCGCCCTTTACCCCAGGGAAGATTCCTGGTACACATTTATTTTGGAGGCTGAGTTGAACCCAAGCCCATAGTGTGCTGGGATTATTAGGTCAATTGAAAATCCAGTGACCTCATTAGGAATGAAACCCATGACCTTCTGGCTTGTAGCATAGAGCCTCAACCAGGTGTGCTACTTCGTGCGTTAAAATAGTCCATAGTGATCACAACGTGTTGGTCCCTTTGGTCATACTATTTAGTTATTTTTCTTTGGCTTTCTTAGATGTTGGGTTTTTTTACTATGGCTTCTTCAGATGTTGATTATGTGTTTGATATACTTAACTAAGTAGTTGATACTTTGTATTTCATGATCATGCGGAGGGCAGGAATCTATGGATAGTGTGATACTAGTTCAAGTGCGTTTTTTGTATACTGAAAATTTTAACCTTTCCCTGATGTGTATTGAAAGGCTGAGAAAGTTAATGGAGTTGTGTAATGCCTTTTTTATGGTGAATCTTATAGTGGGTTGTTTGTTGAATTCAGTCAGTGTTAAATAACCCCCCCCCCAGACATCACAATTTTTAGGGGCGTTAATTTGAGGAGACGTGCATGCACTCACAGTTTACACAGATAATGGTATTTCTCCTTTCATCTTATATAAGTACAAGATGCTGAGCATTGTACATTGTTGTGGCATAGAACTGTATGTGATGTTCTGTTTCAATCTTCTCATTTCCCAAGCAACTCATGCAGGTATGTCCATCACTCGCAGTGTGCGCTGATTTTGTATACTTGCTGTGAGACTTACAAAGAGAGCCCAGGTTGTTTGTACTCATATCTCCAAATATCCAAATTCACCCTTTTAATGAAGATGATAAAGCAGCATGTAACTTTGTAGTCTCTGTAGCTTCAGCATGTGGCCTACTGAGTAGAAAAACGTGGTTATTGGTCCCCATCCTCCCTACCCACTGGACTTAGACCCCTGTAATTTTGCTCTGTTTCCCAAATTGAAAATTAAATTGAAGGGACAACGTTTTGAAACGGTGTCTGACATCCAGAGGGAGTCACGAGCGGTACTTGACAACATTAAGGAAAAGTGACATTGAGAGTGCTTTTGAAGCAAGGAAACAGTGATGGGATTCACCTAGTCCGAGAGCTTTCCAATACACCTTGTATGTCAACCAGAGGATTTTAAAAAGGAGTACATATTTGGTGTAAAATCAGTTTTCGTACAAAGAACCTGTGCCTCCCATAAAACCACTCATGCCTGGGAGTGGGGCACACTTTGGTAATGTCTGGTTTAGAAGTATGGAATTTTGATTTTCAGTATGTGTTTATCCATGTTTGTGATACTGAGCAGGTGAGAAATCCTAGAACCATGACACTTTCATATTAGGTTTGTGTTCCATGTCAGTCAGTGACATTGTATGTGCTTGTTGTTTTAGTGTGCAAGAAATGTTCAGAAGTATTTTCAAGAAAAAGCAATTCAGGCCCAGAAAGCTGAAAAGGTTCAAGAATTAAGGTTGAAGAAGATAGCCAGTTTTATTTCAAAGGAAATCAAGACGTTTTGGTCCAATGTTGAGAAGGTAATTTTAATTAAATCCTTTAGTATTTGGTGAGCTTTGGTTATAGTTCTAAACATTGTTGTTAGAAATACTTATATGTCAACATAAGGGTTTGAAAATTAAAAGCAGAGTGTCTAAATATATGTGATTACAGGTATGTATATCACTGATGATGATTCAAGAATTCTAACCAATGACACTTCATGTAACACATACAAATATGAAGTTATTATGGATGTTCCATGTGTACATGCAACTTGTATTGAAATTCTTCCCATTCAATGATGCCCATTTTTCTGGAATTGGTGGAATCGGTACATGTTCCCTGATGTACCCCATAAGAAGAAGCTGGAAGAGATACAGGCGGAGGACTCTCAGCCCAAGGGAGTGGTCCTGTTGGCCATTGTTCTGCCAGCTGGTTGTGAAGAAACTGATACATTTCCATGTGGTAGTGGAAAGGAGTTGCATTGTTTTGAACTGTTAACCCTTGCCAAGTGTTCTGTAGCAGATGTTTCCATAATCACTTCTCCAAGTCCCAGTAATAATTTTAGAGAGAGAGAAAAAAAGAACAATTCATAGACATGCTAGGGCACTGCCATAATAAATTATCTTTCAAAGGAGTCTTATTCCAGGTTTACAGGTTTGGTTCCTTCACAGCCCAAATATGAGGGCTGTGCTTATTGATATTTCAGATTTATGAAAGGTCACTTCAGCACTCGATACCAACTGAAAAGCGTTTAGAAAGTGGGGGGGGAATCAGACATTGTTGACATTGTCGGTGATAGATTTTGGGAGCTGCACTTACATTACTTCATTTGCAGACATCTTTTATGAACCTGCCATATAGTTGTATGTGGTGTCTGCAGCTGGCTCAGTGGGGTGTGAATACAAGAGCTTTCATGTGTCACTGCTTTGGCTTCTCTGGTCCAATTTTTGCACAGGTAGCATGCCTCAGGTAGCTTCCCGTATCAGTCCTTATTCAAGTTTTTAGATGGTACGTGTTTTCCAAATTTTCTTCAATATCTTTAAGAGCCAGCCAGATTCTGTTGTATTGCACTAAAATCAAGAGTGACCCGTTTTCTTTCATGTCTGGCAAATGGATTAGTCCCGTGATGATACTCCAAAGAATATCTGTGTCACCTTGATGATATCAGCCCAGTCATGTGTAAATGAGTATTTGAACAGTGTCTTTCTGCCAAATTTTGTTTTTGTGCACACAGTTGTTTCAGTGGTGATTTTTTTAAGTAGGAACCGTATGAAATATGGCAATAAGAATTTAAAGTGAGGTGACACAACTTTCATGTGTAATTACTAGGGCCCGGATTTTTTGAAAATGCATATGCACATATTCAAATGCATATTTTGAGGGGTTTTGGTCATTATTGCATATTCTAAATGTAAGACCATTTTTCTGCATATATGTTTGAAATTAAAGATAATTTCAGTATTCTCTAACAAAATCGATTTTTCCTGTGTTTTGGACATCCCTTGCCAGTTGCAATTCTCAGCTCTGCAGGTAGCTTGGCTATTTTGAAAGGGAGGAGGTGGGACTTTCCTGCATTCCTTTGACCACCACAGCAGACAATAGCATCAGAGGGTTGGTCTTAAGAGAAGTTAATTTTTTCTTAATAGTCTGCATCAAAAAAGCGTTTGTGTACTGAAAATGCCTAAAGAAAAGTGCAGCAGTAGATATTTAAAAAAATTGGTGGGTGTCTGGTAATAGTGAGTATTCAACGGACAGTGTCGTTGTGTACTGTCAGGTTTGCGCAAAGGAAGTAAAATGTGAAAAGAAATTTCAACTTGAACAACACTCAAGAATGACTGCACATCTTACGGCAAAGAAGAGGAAGAAGAACAGCACACCATAACAACTACTTCTTACACAGATCAAACGCAAGACCTCTGTTAATACATTTTCAGTTGATCTTTATAAGGCTGTAGTATGCAGCAGCAGTCCAGTTCTGCAATCATTTCTGGAGAAATATTGTGTAATTCAAAGAATCCCAGATGAATCAACTCTTAGAAAAAAATTATCTACCTTTGCTATATGAATCTTCTCTGTTGTCAGTCCGTTCTGACATCGGAGGGAACTGTGTCTGGATATCGGTGGATGAGACAACCAATTTATATGGGCGATATGGAGCAAATTTCGTAGTTGGTAAGCTACATCCAGACAAACCTGGCACACCTCATCTTCTTGCTTGCAGAGTACTAGAGAAGACAAACCATAGCACAGTAGTAAGATTTGTAAATGATTCTCTGAGACTACTATGGCCATCTGAAATTGGGAATAATTGTTGTAAGGTGCTTGTATTACTCACAGATGGAGCTTCCTAGATGTTGAAAGCATCATAGGCCTTACAAGTATTTTATCCAAATCTTATACATGTAACCTGTTTAGCACACGAATTACACCGTGTTGCAGAAAAAAATGCGCAGTTTCCAGCTGTTAACAATTTAATTGCAAGTAGAAAAAACTTTCCGAAAGCACTGGCTCGTGTCCATTTCTACAAAGATTGCCTCCCTCGGGTTCCTCTGCCACCTGAACCTGTTCGAACTAGGTGGGGGACATGGATATCAGCAGTTTCATTTTATCAGGAGAATTTCAATCAAGTAAAAGAAGTGGTTACAAAACTTGAAGATGAGTATGCATGTGTCCATGAAGTAAAGTGGTGTTTGGAAATGATACTGTTTATCAAAATGTGAATTTTATCCATGCACATTTTTCTACAGTTTCAAAAGCCATTGAGAGCTTAGAATCTTGTGGTGCACTCCTTCATCTCTCACTTGAACTTGTTCAGTGAATTCCGCACCAGGCGAAATTAGAGAGAAGATTAAATGCAAGTTAGAAAAGGTGTTGAATTCGAACCCAGGACTAAAAAAGATTCAGTCAGTTAGTCAGTACTTGAGTGGAATTGGGGTATGTTTGGCAGATGAATGTTCCGAACTTTTGGCGACAGTGTATATATACTGTCCAATCATGTCAGTTGATGTATAAAGATCATTCTCAGCCTATAAACTCATTTTGACAGACAACAGATGCAGTTTGTCTCCAGAAAACACTGAAAGACTTGTAGTTGCCCATTGTGATGCTACTTTCTGCAGTGAATGATACATGTAAATAGGCGAGTCTGAATAAAGTGACCTGCTTCTTAAGTGCATATTGTTTTATTTTTTAGCATATTTTTCCACGCATATTTTAAGTGTTTTTAGCGCATAAAGATCCGGGACCTAGTAATTACATTTTATATGTACCATCGTTAATTTATATATCTTTGACAATAAGAATCATCAGCACTATTACTGTTTCAGTCATCACTTACATGTCTTGTAGTGCCGTGATGGCCTCTGCCAGAATTATCATGAGTTTTTGGAATTGCCATCAGAGGTGCTTGAAATGTTGTCATCTTACAAAGTCACATGAGTATCACCTTCAGAATCATCTGATAGTGTGTAGGATGGTCAGACTACTCTTTTCACTTCCATACTGACATTTAGTGTTTTTGAAAAAGAGTTATTGTCTTTGCTGTGGTTGATACCATGAAAGTTACCTAAATCATCCAAGTAATCATCACAGTCTTGCTCTGAATTTCATGAACTTCTATGATGATACCCTTATCCATCAGTTTTTTAGCCATTGTTTTGTAGATAACTCTAATTCACAAGCGTGGACTCTTGTCATTAGATGGCAGTAACAACAAACATTACTGCTGCATGGTTACAAACTTGTGAATTCTTGTTTGAGAACTGTATCTATATACGAAGGTTATTTGGAAAGTAAAGATACAAAATACAGAAAATGTTTGTAAAACTCTTTTTTATTCATTTGTAGCACTTTTACAATACACCTTTATTTACTTTTCAACAGGGAGTGCAATGCACTTAGTGAGCCTGGGAATTAGTTTTTTTTTATTTCAATGTCTGAGAAATCTTCTGCCTGCTTTCTTAGCCATGTCATCACTGCATCTTGAACCTCATCATCATCATCTGAAAGAGTCTTTTCGGCCAGACTTTCCTTCAATTTAGAAAACAAGTGATAGTCGCTTGGTGCAAAGTCTGGGCTGTGTAGTGGATGGGCCAATACTTCCCACTTGAAGGACTGCAACAACTCCTGTGTGGTGCAGGCAGTTTGCGGATGGATGTTATTGTGCAGTAAGCAGACTCCTCACATCAACATTCGTCTCAGCTTGTTCTGAATAGCCAAACGCAGTTTCTTCAGCATCTCACAGTAGGCAGCAGCATTAATGGTGTCTTCTCAAGGTAAAAAATTACTGAGAAATGGCCCCTTCCTGCCCCAGAAGATGGTTGCCATGATTTTTCAGTTTGATGGTGAGGTTTTGAATGTTTTCACTGTTGGTGAGTATGTGTGATGCCATTGCATTGATTGTCGCTTATTCTCAGGTGCGCGATGAGGTATCCAAGTTTCATCTCCCATCATAATACAGTCCAGAAAGTCATCACCTTAATCCTAGTAACGTGCAAGGGAACACCTGCACTGCAGCCACACAATTTTTCTAGTGATTGTCAACATTTTCAGCACCCAACGTATGCACAGTTTCTGCTAGCCTAATCTTTTTGTAACAGTTTCATTGAGAACAGTTCTTGACACTTCTGGACATTGTTCATGAAGTTCATTGATGGTTAAACGTCTGTAAGCGCAAATGTTTTCGTCAATATTTTGGATGATTTCATCAGTGGCAACACTGGCCTTCCACTCCTTATTTCATCATGAACATCACTTCTTCCCACATCAAATTCGTGACACAATTTTGGCACATTTTGCCTGTTCATAACATCTTCGCTATATACAGAAACAAGTTCCTTTCGCGTGAAGAAATCAAATTGCTGCCTACACGTCACATTTGACGGGATTTTGAATTGACACCGTCATTTTAAACACTGTGAGCACAACGTTGCCATGACTGTGGCCGGTGAACTCTGCCCTGTCATACAGTTCCTATCCCACACAGCAGCATTGCCATTTCTGAAGAAAAATTCCCTTGCATTTTTACTGGACTTGTATCCTTACTTTCTGAATATACCTCATATATAATAGGATAATTTACGTGGTGAATACAATTTCCATACACAAATTCACTAAGTTCGCATGAAACCCGAGAGATGAGGTGTGCCATCATATCAGATGAAGACTTGTGGAAATTAGTGTTGAGTCCATCTTTTCATGGATCTTTTGGGAGTGAAATGTAATGAGGTGACATCTACATATGACTGGAAATGAAAAGAATAGGTTCCTGCAAGCAACCTTTCACCTGATGATAGAAACAGATACGGTTTCCAAAATGGTGGGGTCCTTAGAATACCAGATGATGGAGAAAGTTAGAAAACTCAGTAGTCCAAAATCAAATGTTTTTATGAAATTTAATGAATAAAAATGTGTTTTATGCAGCTGGTGGAGTATAAACAACAGACAAGATTGGAAGAAAAAAGAAAAAAGGCATTGGACCAACATCTCAGTTTTATTGTGGACCAAACAGAAAAATACTCAACTTGGCTAGCTGAAAGCATGAATAAATCTGGTGTGGACAGTGTCAATCCAAGTGTTCCTGCATCTGTGAATTCATCACGAATTTCATCTCCAGTAAGACAGGTTCTCTCTGATGGTATGTTAATGATGCATTCTATACTGCATTAAGTATTGTTTAATGTCACTACATTTAATTCCAAAGTTTCTGACTACTGTAGTGAGGACTTTTACCCTCCACAATGTAACATCCCTGGGAACATCTTCTACCCATTTAAGTGTAAGAATTTATTATAAGAATTTCTTAAATATTTAAGTTATTTGTACTTTTTACCTGTTATTGGTAGAGGGTAGGGAATGGGACTGTCAGTTCTTACAGAATACTGTAGACATGTATTGGGGAGATGCTCAGTTTGAATCTCAGCTTGGACACCAGTTATCCCAACTGTGATTTTTCATGGCTTTCCTCAGGAGGCCAATTGAAACTTTGATTAGGCCATGACTGATTCCTTCAAACTCCTTTCCGGTTCATAATTCATCAGTAATCCTGCATTTGACAGTATATACTGTAGAGAGTGACAGAGTAATTAAATCTTCTTCTAATTAAGCTGGCTGCCTTTTTTTTTTGCAATAAGAAATGGAGAGTCATTCATTGTTTGCAAGGTCTTCCTGGGCGTCTACCTTTTGGGAAGTTACCGGTTGTGACCCAGTTCTTGAAATGTGGTTGTTCCACTTTTCCCTACAATCACCCACTCCTTTTGGCTGAATTCCACAGTGTTCATTAACCCTTTGACGTGGTCATTTAAATTCCGCGGCCGCGGCTCCTGCGGTAATATATTCAGCCGGCCATTTAAATTTTGCTCGAAAATTATTTATTCATCATTGTTCTTAAATTCTATGAGATAGGAACATGAAACTTTCACTAAAATGATCTTAAATGGTGGTTTTATAACCTTACCTTATAATATGGGCGCCCTGTATCTCGGCCATGGAAGCAGGTTGTTTAGTATTTCAGCAGTGAATGGTANACAGGCCAGTGAAAAATCTAACAATCTACAGCAAAACCATCAATTATTATGGGCGTTATAACATACGTGTGCAGCTGGACGAAACATACACGTCGAACCCCCCCAGACGATTTAAATCCCTGACGAAACATACACGACGAACCACGGCAACGGGTTAATAACCCAGTTTCTTGTATGATCCACTTGTCTTTCTGACAGTTTTCCTTAAGGTCTTTAGTATCTAGTATTTGTTTCACCCTGGAAGTGCCTTCTCTGGGCTCTGCTGCAATTATTAGGACAGTCATATAACTGATTTACAGATTCTTACTTTAGGTTGTGTTCTTTAATACTTATTTCACCATATTGTGTCATTCAGGCATGCTGACAGTCTTAACAGCTTTATATCATGATGCTTTGCTTCTGATTGCAATGCACCATTGCTTGTTCACATACTGTTAAGTCTTTGCTTTACTATTTGAAATGTTCATATTTCTGAGAGTTAAGCAAGAAGTGATATAACAATCTTTGTAAACTAAACCCATTATCTGCAGTTAACACTGTGATGCAGATAGCGTATGATATTTATTTCCATGTTCTCCATCCTGTATCCCTTTTCATCTTTAATGCCTTTTATAATTTCATTCATTATCGGGTTAAACAATAACAGGCTCAGTCAGTCTCCTTATATGCCTCTCTTTACTGGTACCTTTCTGCAAGTTTTCCATCGGATCTTATTCTGGTAAAATTCTTTTCATATGTATCCTAAATTAAAATGACAAAGCTATTTTGTACCTTGTTCCTTCGTAAAATTTCCAACACTGTACGAGGTGTGTTCAAAGAGTTCCTGAAATTATGGCTTGGAGCAGCAGTGCGTCGGTCACGTTAGGTGGTGTTTTGTTGATCTACTAACCTAACCATTAGTTATGAAAGCCATTTTGTTCTAATTAGATTATATGTTCCATTTAGTTTTTATGACCAATTTTGTGATTTATTGTATTTCTTTGTCGTGTTTAGCATGGAGTTGGTCAAGGAGCGAAGAATTTGTGTTGAATTCTGCTGCTGAAACCTGCAGCATGTTGCATGAGCTTAGGCAGTGATGCCTTGAGTCAAACAATGACCTATGAATTCTTCAAACATTTTGAAAATTGATGACTTTAAGTGCAAACCATTGCATTCTAGAAGACAGTAATCAGTCATCACCGCAAGAACCTCACATATGTTTATTAGTCCACACCATAGCTCAAGCGGTTAGTCGCTGGCTTTCCACCACGGTGGCCCAGGTTCGATCCCGGGTCTGGTCAAGTGGGATTTGTCATGGACAAAGTGGTGCTGGGGTGGGTTTTCTCCGAGAGCTTCGGTTTCCCCTGCCAATCTTCATTCCACCAAATTCTCCATCTTCATAATCACCTGTGGCAGGCTACAATAGGCCAATCAGTGGCCGCCATGCCGAGTGGACCCAGTTGGACTCCATCCCCCACTAAGCGAATTAAAAAAAAATTCATGGTTATTAAACAACCACCCCCTCCCCCTCCCAATCATCATCATAATTTCATTACCTTCACATTTAGTTTTTGTCATTACAGTAGTTTCATCATAATTATTCCTGCTTCATTGCCATCTTAATTATAAATATTCATATCATATTAAGTGGAGGAACTGTTTTGGGAGAGACTGGACCTGTCGTCTGACAGATTACTGATGAATGAATGCCGTTTCCAAACCACTCAAAATTCCACATCAGTTTTATTTTCATATGCTTTGAGGTACTCACTGCCATTTCTAGTACTTCAGTGTGCTGCAATGCAGGAAAAGTGCTTGATTGGAAATAAAATTACATAGATGGCAGTGACTTCTAAATGCCCAGTGCTTTCATCCTAAATACTGCCACATTTTTTAAGATTGCAAGTTAAAGCCCTGTTTCTCGTAATACCAGGAAGAAGTAGCTGTAAGCACCAGAACTGCTGTATTGAAAACTGTGTTCTTTGGGGGTATGATGCTTCATTTGGTTTGATTCCTGGCTAAGAGATGTCAGCACTGATGATTTTTGTGAGCTTGCAGTTGGTGAGGACCTACTCCACTTAGTGCTGATGACATATGTCACATGCTTGCAAGTATGTCCTTAAGATACCAACTTGAGGGGTTAAGATGTATAGTGAACTTAACTATTTCATGGCGATTCTAATCTTTGTACATATTTTGAATGTAAATTAGTTAATATTTCTCAGGATAGTGTGAAATTTGCAGATGAATTTCAACCCAGTCAGAGTTCAACAGATGATGAAGAAACAATTGCTAAGGCAGAAGAAGACTTGGGTGTGTCAGGACACATTGAAGAAGTTGAAATGCTAAACAGGGAATCAAAACTTCCCTTAGAAGATTTGTTGAAGGAGTTGCCAGATGATTATCTAGAGAATCGAGATAAAGCATTTTCTAGTGAGAGAAGTGAAGTTGGTGATGACATATCAAGTAGAGGCGATGACGATGAATTCACTGTAGCAACAGATAAGGAGTCTACTGATGATGAAGAGACAATTCAGGAACAGGAAGCTGCTGAAGGGGATGTGGATCACAAGAAGGAATTAGAGGAACTTCAGGTAAGAACATATACAAAATAGTTCAGTTTTGCTTACATTTAAACAAAAATTGCTATTTGTTAGGTTACAAATATTATAAAATTCTTGATATATACTGCCTGATATATTTGTATTTCTTTATTTATTGTGTTATAGTTCTTCTGTGATTTAATGACCTTATCTTTGCAAGTGAATTACCTAACAATTCTGTTCCTAGACATTCTTATTGCTACTCCGACAGCGGCAAGTTTGTAATTTCATGCTTTGACATTTTTGAAGTTGAAGTAAAAATCTGACAGTAGCACCCACACAGGTGCTGTCACATGCAAGCAGCATCTGGGATCTTCGAATTGCGGACTCACCATATCAGACTAACATAAGCTCAGAATATTTTATGAGCTGAAGATATGTTGTATACTGTCACATTGAAGATACAGTCTTCTCTCACAGATTCCCCCACAGCTCTCTGAACTCTTGCTTGAATTATCCTTATAACATCTCGGCACGGACCACGTAGGAAACACTGTACATTGCACTCCATTCGTTTCCACAGGAGCATATTTGTTTGTGAAAGTGTTATTCAGTAATGGCTGCATGTACTTGCGTAGTATGAATGTATAAGGGGTGGGCCTTCTTGGCCCTTGCACCACGACCTACAGTGATCTATTGTGCTTTACTTGCATATTAAGATTCTGTTGTTTCAAGGTCGTTACACAGTAACAGGTTTACACACAAAAATATTTTAGTTTGTAGATGTTGTTTGTGTACATCCCCATTTCCAACACTCAGTTACATTGTGTGAATGAAAGACTTATAACTGTTCTGTGTATGGGGTTATAGTATTTTCTTCCCTTTATAAATACATGCGTCATGTTCAGACAGTTTGATGTGTGTACCTGTCAAGGGAAACAATGTATGAAGGTGTGTTGAAAAGTACTACATGAATATGTTTCTGAAGAAAAAGGATAGAATTACTTTTTTAGCTTGCACTCATAGAATACGTTAACATTTATGCATGGTTCTTAAGTATATTTCTGTTCAGATTGAAAGAGGGATATATATCATGAAAGAAATAGCAACAAGTGTAACATTATGAGCTTTTTTCTCTGCTTTTCAATACAGGCTGAAAATGAAATAAGTGTTGAAGATCTTATTGCGAAATATGGATGTGGGGGCAGTGCAGAGGATGTGGAAGAAGATCTAGAAGAGTCTGAGGCAGAAGAAGTTGAGGATGAGAGTAAGATTTGCATTGTTTTGGTGGAGTAAATGAATATAGTATAGTATAGTAGTATAGTATATGTGGTATACTTGTCATTTAATGCTTTATAATTGAAATGTGTATTGTTTGGTAGGTACTTGGTAGTATGGAATAACTTCTGAATACAGTATTTTAGCTTTATAAAATATACTGAGATTGTGAGACATAAATATTTGCAGGAGAGAGCAAGAATGCATTCACTCAAATTATCTCTTAACTTGCTTCTGAGAGACAAAGAAATGTGTGATAGTGTAGTGGGTGTGAAAACATATAGAATTACTAGTGAATAGGCAGGAGTTTGTACAGGAATAATAGCTGTTCAGTTCTACTTACGTTTCCTGCGAGATAAAGAGAAGGTGCACACATCATGAGTGTTGCTGCTTTAGACTAGAAGTAGCCTGAGTTTTATAGGAGGTGATGGAACAGTGAGGGCCAGCACTGCAGGATGGTGAGTGGTGCAGCCATGCAGACCACATTATTTCTTGGAGAAAAGATGAATATACAGGATGTAGTTTGAATGTTTTCCTTCATTATTTCCCATCATACATTGCTCCAGCAGAAAATATTACCAAAACATCATGGTACTTAGAAGGTGTTTCATATTATTATAGGATGGAGAATGTGTAGGGACACACTGGTTGCGTTTTATGAAGCCCCCCCCAGGTGATGCTAGGAGTAGCTGTTCTCCTGCATAGGGGTCAAAGTCTCTTTTTGTCTCCTTTTCCATTCACACACTGGTGACTTGAGATACGAGTGTGCTGCATTGCCAGTAGTGCCTGTTAACTCACAAGTTATAGAAATTTGTAACAAGGTACATTTCCAAATGTGTGTTTACCTAAATCCAGAAATGAGACTAAACCACTTATTGCACAGGAAATTCTGGACATTGCCGAGCTTACTATTGTTATGATGATGGTACTTAAAGATATGCTTGTTACTTCTAACTTATTTTCATTACATTGGACACCTATTATGTATTCATGAATTAATTGTGAAGTGATGGCTGAAACCAGAACAGTAGAGCCAGAAGGGATGGCCATTGCTAGGAAACAGCTGATAAACGCATTTCTGCAGTGAAGAACATGTGATACAACAATAGAGGAACTGCTGGAAACAGTGTTTTCTGCTGGGTCAGCCCTGAGGCAGACAGAGTTGTGATTCACAGTTGTATTTGAGAATCTGAGGGTATACGAGTAGTTGTGGCCAATATAAGTTGTGAGTCACAGTTGGGAATGTGAGTTGGAGCCACAGGCTGGGTGTGAGACAGTCACGAGCCAGTAACAACATGAGTAGTAAAGGACGTTGTTGGGATCTGTCATCAGACCACCATTAGTGAAGACAAATTTTAGAAGACTTTGCTGTAGTGAATAGTAAAGTGAATGAATTAATGAGAGTTCTGTAAATACTTGTTCAGCAAGTCCAATTACCAATCCAACCCCTCTGTCTACTCACTAAATACATGATAGTATGTTGGGAAAGAGGTATGAATTTTCAAAATGTGACACTGATGCTTTTTTATGCTTTAGATTTTATGTTTATCATACTCTTACACCTAAATTGAAATTCAGCTTACCTGGGTGACCAAATGTGAAATTGTTGTTTTGCGTGATTGATAAAAAAGAAAATTATGATATAGGATGTCAGAAATATTCAACACACTAAACTAAAAGTATGGTTTTATGTAAAATGTTCTGATCCTCTTAAATCACTCTTTATCTTTGTACACATTTGCACTTGTCCGATGTAGTAAGTATTGAGTGAAGCCTTATGGAGGTCATAGAAAGGAGAGAAATCTTGTAAGGATGATTACTCTCATTATTTTCATAGTGTCTTGTTTTTATGCATCATCGATCAGTTGTCATACATTATTGTGACATCTTTTGCAGTGATGCAACATAGAAGTCTGCATGGGCCAGCTTGTTTACATACTTTAAGGTGTAAACATTCTAGAACCTTGCACACAGTTCAACATATTTATGCAGAAGTAAAGAACAGTTACTAGATAAATGCATGGAATTGGCTGGATGATGGCAATATCATACTGAGCCTTATCCTGTGACATTTAAAGAGACTGCCTGGTGCTTGTGTATTAAAACAGTTATATGTAATGAAGTAATTAATGTACAGAAGCAGTTCTCTTATATTGAACATGGTTTTTGTGTATCATCAGTGCCTATAATGAGATAATTGACTTAGAGAATTATCTACGAACTCTGTATTCATCTATATTCTTCCCATATGCAGCTCAGCATATCTGGAGTAACAGCTGGAATGGCAACTTTAATTATTTCCTCCTGTAGGTAGGCCTAAGCACTCTAGTGCTTACTAGTTTTCAGAGCAACAGTTTTTGAGAGAAAGTATATTGTATTTTCAATGCATACAGTACTCTTACACTCAGGCCTCTTTTTAAGTTGATGTGCATAATGGCAAATTATTGATGTGTAGTAGGGAACTTGCAAGTCACATGTGCATTGTACAGAGTCTTTTCTTAGTAACTCGAGTTTACAACGAGCTGTCTGCTGCTTCCTGACAGGTGCATACAGATTTTGCTGATGAATCGGTTGATAGCATTTGGAATGAAGGGAAGGACGAGGGTAAGTCAATAAGTAAGTTACAAATGGATATAGAACTTAAACAAATGAAGAGTACTGATTTGAAAAATGCTTTTATATCTCAACATAATCTCCTTGTACATTGAGGCACTTGTCCTCTTGTTTCACAAGCCCCTGAAAACCAGCATAAAATTCTTTCGGCTGCTGTTGGAACCAGCTGGTGACTTCCCTTTCTACAGCTTCATTGTTGGGGAAAATGTTTAGCTGAAAGATGATGTTTAAGAGGGCCGAACAAATGGAAGTTGCTTGGAGCAAGGTCAGGGCTATATGGAGGATGCTCAAGGACTTCCCATTTGAAATTTCACAGTGTCTTGTTTGTCTTGTTGGCAGTATGGGGACACACGTTGTTGTGCAAGAGCAACACACCTTTGGCGAGGAGTCTTGGTCGCTTCCGTTGAATGGCCTTATGAAGTTTCCTGAGGATGTTACAGTAGTAGTCGGCATTTACGGTTTGTCCTTGAGGCTGGAATGTGTTGAGCAGTATGCCTTTGTGATCCCAGAAGACTGTGAGCATCACTTTCCTGGAGGATGGTGGCACTTTAAACTTCTTTCTAGCAAGCAACACAGGATGTTTCCACTGCATTGACGCACTCTTTGTCTCCGGCTGATAATGGTGAAGCCAAGATTCATCACCTGTGACAATTTGGGCTAGCATTTCATATCCTTCATCGTGGTAGCGATTGAGATGCTGTAATGTGCGGCACCCATCGTGCACAGATTTTGTGAAAACCTAACCTGTCATGCATTATGAGGTAGGCCATGCTGTGTGAACAACCAATAGCAGTGGCTATGGTGTCTATAGTTACCCTTCTGTCTGCTCAGATCAAGTCTTCAACCCGTTGCACGTTCTCCTCTGTGGCAATCTCCATTGGCCGGCCGACATTGTGTTTGTCTTCGATATGTGTCTGCCCTTCAGAGAACTTCTGCACCCAATTGTAAACAGCATGACATGACAGGCACTTCTCACCATAGATGGGAAGTATTTCTTTATGAATATTCTTTGATTCCATACCTTTTGCCCACAAGAATCGCATAACGGAACGCTGCTTGAGGGTTGTACACGCACCCAAGAGGTGCCGCTATCTTGCAGCTGCTGTTTTGCTTTTGTAAACATCGATTGTCTCATGTTGAATGTCATCAATTGCCACCGGACTAATGCTGCCATCTAGTGGCAGTAGCCTCAAGTGCCTCATTCGAACATGTAGTACCCCACATCAATTTGTAACTTATTGATTCACCTACGTAATTAACTTGTAGACTGCTTGATGGTACTATATTTAATGGCTAGGAGTGCAGTTCATGTGTGAGAGTTTGTTTATGATTGTCAGCAGCAGGCAGTAGTTATCAGCTCAATTACTCATTGTTCTCAGTTACAGTTAGCAAGCGGTGTACTTCAGTGTAATGTGTATTTTTGTATGGCACCTACATGAAATACGGATCTGCTAGAAAGTGTCAGAGAAAATTTTGACATAAATTTCGTAGTGAAAGAGTGCCCAGCAGACAGACAATTCACAATGTGCTTAATAAACTTAGAAGAACAGGACTCTTAATAGACAAAACATAAACATAAGTGTCGAGTATTTACTGAGGCGAAGTTAGATGACAAGAGCCACGTTTGAACAATACACCTAGAGAATCACTGAAACGTCTAGCTCAAGAGACTGAATGTCAAAGTCTAGTGCAAAAACAGCAGCACAATTGGTGAAGCCGTCCAGTTAAATTTGGTGTTTGGTGTTCTGTAAGTGCTAGCAGGATTGTTGTACCTGTGTTTTTTAGTGAAACAATTGCGAAAAGTATTTACATGTAGAGAAGACAGCATTTTTAACACCTGTCATCTGTGAATTGTAACTACTTCATTTCAAACATTATCAGCTCTTAGGCATGCTAATTCATTGGCAGAATTTGCAAGCACCTCACAACAACCAGCACACCACTTGCAGTGAAACGCAGAGCTGTGAACTCGTCATGTTACCAAGGAAAGACCCTGTATGTGTCAGACTTTGAGAATGGAACAGCGGAGCGCTTGGGAGTACCATCAGACATGTTTTCAGAAAAAAGAAGTGCTGTTATGCATCTCATTAAATTAAAAGCAGTATGTAAACGTCACCTCTGTGGTCTAGTGGTCAGAGTTCTTGGTTACAAATCCAGAGGTCCGGGTTTGATTCCTGGTGCTACCAGATTTTCTGAGAAGTAATGGGTCTGGAAGAGTGTCCACTGAGCCTTGTGAGGATAACTGAGCAGCTATTTCAATGAAATAGCAGCTCTGGTCTAGAGAACCAGAATTAACAGCCATGGGGATTCCTTGTGTTGGCCAAGAGACACCCTCTATCTGCTGAAGTAGGCACTAACTTCGCCGACAAACGGTGGTTGCTCGGTCGGTATAGTTCGCTTGCAGACTAAAACCACGGAGTTTTTTTTGTTTATGTAAATGTCCTATCCAAATGTATTACAGAAAAGTGTTGGATATGTGAAACATACATTCTCATTAAGAATCATATCATGTGTTAGTGACTAGACACAGGGTTTAGATTGATAATTGGATTTACTGAACCCCAATAACCCATAACTACAACTAATTATAGCACTGCCTCTAATCTGTGCAGTTAATAAATCACTGTAGTACTGGACGATTTTTTAATCATGTCACAATGTTAATTAATTCTCAATCTTGTCAAATTAGAACTTTGTGACAGTTAGTAGGGTTTAATCTTACCTTTTTTATAGTAGGCAGTCAAAGCTGAAATAGTAGTTTATGGAGAAACTGAGGCATCGTAATTATGTTGTATTCTGGTATGTGGTCACTTTCATTTATGTGGTTTTTATAGGCATGCATTTTTATGCATTTGTTTATTAGTTTCAGGGAATGAAAGTGATAATGAAAGTGAAAATTCAACCGAAGACGATGCAGAAAGTGTACAGAGCAAAGAAGTAGACATTGGCCTAAAATCTCTATTAGATGATGACAACCAGAATGGTGATGAAATGAGCATCGAAAAGAAGGTTTGTAGAAGTGTGTGGGCTTTGAGTAAAAATTAGTAACTGAATAAGTGAAATCTACTATATTATTATTCTGTATTTCAGTATTCTGTTGCACATCTTCAATTAATGTCTATATATTTAGTCCGTCAGTAATGCAACAACCATTAAAATATTCACCATTCAACACCAACACGACGTTTCGGCCCAAGGCGGCCGTCCTCAGGTGTTTTGATGCATCTAAACTGTTACACTGTTTTGATTTGTGCTAAAATTGAGCATTGCAGTCCACTTAAATTAAAATCTTTCATAAAATTCTATCCACATGGCTTTAAACAAATGGACAACACCCCTTACGAGGTGGATAGAATTTTATGAAAGAGTTTAATTTAAGTGGACTGCAACGTGCAATTTTAGGGCGCATCAAAAGAGTTTAAGTCATTTTGTGGGTTTGGAATATTAGGGCTACAAGCTTGGTGCTTTTGGATTGAACTAATCGCTAATTAAAATGAATGCGTTAAGTTGCAGGTAATACATGGTGCTATCAAAAAGTCCTGAAATTTGAATTTTGCGTGCAAATGGATATGAGTATATCAAAATGCCTCTAGGTGTCTCCCCACACCCCCTTCTTGAATCAGTGTGGCAAGCGGCGTCGAGTTGAGTGGTTGGGTTTATTGTTGGTGAACATATTTCCATTGTTGTGTTTCCGTGAGTTTGCGATGACTGACATGAGAGCAATGTGTCTGTATAAAGTTTTGTTTTAAACTTGGAAGAACTACTGCAGAAACGCACCAAATGTTGAAGCAAGCTTTTGGTGATAACAGTTTAGGCCATACACAAACTTACCACTGGTATAAGCGTTTCAAAAATGGCCAAACATCGACTGATGATGATGATGATGATGATGATTGTTTGGGACGGCCGTCAACTGGCACCACACCAGAAAATGTCGCGAAAGTTAGGGATCTGATTCTGCAAGATCGTATACTGACCATCCAAGGCCTCTGTAACACCTTGGAACTAAGTTATGGTACATGTCAATGAATTTTGTCAGAGGAACTGAACATGAGGAGGATTGTGGTGAAGTTTGTGCCACGACTGCTGCAAAATGAACAGAAGCAGCATCGCTTGGAAGTCTGCAGGGAACTTCAACAACAGCTTCAAGAGGATCCAAACTTTCTTTCGAAGGTTGTCACTGGTGTCAAAAGTTGGGTTTATGGCTATGACCCTGAAAGTAGGCAGCAATCGCCACAATGGAAGAGCCCTTCTTCACCTCGGCTCGAGAAGTCGAGCAACATTAAGTCCATGTTGATTTGTTTTTTCTTATATTGACGGGATTGTTCATAAGGAGTTCGTCCCTCGTGGTCAGACAGTCAATAAAGAGTTCTATTATGATGTTCTAAGGCGTTTGAGGGAGGACATGAGGAGAAAACGTCCAGAGAAGTGGTGCACGAATGACTGGGTACTCCACCATGAGAACACACGACCTCATACGGCTTACATTGTGCAGGAATTTTTGGCTAAAAGCAAGATGGCAGTTGTTCTCCACCCACCATACTCGCCAGACATAGCTCCATGCGACTTCTTTCTCTTCCCCGAAATGAAAATCTAGTTGAAGGGAAGAAGACTTGATACAGTTGAGGAAATTCAAGCTGAAACGCAGACGGTCCTAACACCCTAACAAGGAAAGACTTCCAGGATGTATTTCAAAAGTGGCAGAAATGCTGGAATCGGTGTATGCACTCCCAAGGGGACTACTTTGAAGGTGATGGTGCAGAATAAGATCCGGGTAAGACATAATAGTTTTTATTAATAAATTTTGGGAACTTCTGGATAGCACCATGTAATATAAGCAAAGGGAGTGAGGTCTTGTTACAGAAAAGGTCTTTTGGCAGTTTTCGTGTGTTACATAGGTAAGTCAGTAAATAACTTACAAATGGATATAGAACTTAAACAAATAAGAGTACAGATTTGAAATATGCTTTTATTACTCAACATAATCTTCCTGTACATTGAGGCACTTTTCCCATCATTTCACAAGACCCTGAAAACCAGCAGCATAAAATTCTTTGGGCTGTTGTCAGAAGAAGGCGGTGACTTCACTTTCTACAGCTTCATCGTCGGGGAAAATGTTTAGCTGAAAGATGATGTTAAAGAGGGCCAAACAAATGGAAGTTGCATGACTGGTTAGGTTTTCATAAAGTCTGTGCATGATGGGTGCTGCGCATGCTGAGCCCCACAACACAAAATGCAAAGAATGGGTCTGGCATTACAGGATCTCAATCGCTACCACGATGGAGGACACGATATGCTAGCCCAAATTGTCACGGGTGATGAGTCTTGCTCCAAGTGACTTCCATTTGATCGGCCCACTTAAAACATCACCTTTCGGCTGGACATTTTCCCGATGATGAAGCTGTAGAAAGGGAAGTCACTGACTGGTTGTGACAGCAGCCCAAAAATTATCTGCTGCTGTTTTTCAGGGGCTTGTGAAATGATGGGGCAAGTGCCTCAATGTACAGGGAGATTATATTGAGAAATAAAAGCATTTTTCAAATCAGTACTCTTGTTTGTGTAAGTTCTGTATCCATTTGTAACTTACTTATTGACTTACCCTCGTAAATATATGGAGCTCTAATTTTATATTCTCTTCCCCAAGTGTCTCCTCTGTAACATTAGTATATGATGCTTACATATCTAGGTGAAGGATAATGAAGCTGCTGGCAAAGGGATCAGTGATGTGGCCGCACTAGCTGAAAGTATACAACCTAAAGGAAATACTTTATCTTCAACAAGTGTAAGTTTGTATTGATAACTTAAAATAAAAAGCATATGCCTTCTTAGCAGTTTAATTCTGTTCCTTACCCTTTTCATTCTTCTTTCTCAGTATTTATTCTTGCCATATATTATATGCTGTTGTCTTGGCAAAAGAAAATTATGTCCGTGATGGTTCTTGGGTGTTTCTGTAAACTGAGTACTGTGGACTCTTTCCTGGAAATAAAGACATAAGGCGTGTAAAGCTAGCCTTGTATGCATGGGGCTATACTTTGAGCAGTACGTCATGACATATGGTTATGGATGAGAGGAAATGGCAAGTGGAAGCATTGCTGTGGTGAAGGTACATCTCTAGATGAAAGTACCAGAAAAAGGAACCTTCCCACATGCTCTACAGCCATTACGATATCTGCTCTATGCATAACCAGGCAGCTCAGTGACTTGCATTCTCTCTCTGTGCATCCTTCCATCAAGTGGATTCATTCATGTTTATGACTGAACAGCTGTTTCCGAGTGCATGCCATGACTATGTGCATCCAATAAGAATAGACACTACATTCACTGTTCATAGGCAGTGGTGCTGGTGAACATCCCCAGTTCCAACACAGTTACAAGTTTATCTGAATGAAAGGCTTGTATCTGTTTATCTGTGGGGTATAGAACTTTCATCCCTTATAAATGCATGCGTCATGTTCAGACAGATTGATGTATGTACCTGTCGGGGGACACAGTATAGGGCTTCGGCCTTGCAATTGCACCTTATTCCAGTTTACAGATGTGATTATGATATTTGGGTATACCTAGTTGCAGGTTGAAGAGGACATTAGCAATGCGATTTCAGGTCTTTGAGTGGCAGCAAAATGAATTGGCAATTGAAGTTTAATGTAATATATCTCCTTTTGCAGAGTAATTTAGGTTAACTAACTCCAAAGAAACAATTAACTCCTAAATTTATATGACAAATGACTGGAGCAGGTTGGAATCACACAAATGCTAAACCATTGATCCACCCAAAATGAGAAACTTTTCCAGGCTCTTTTGTCTCCTTATGTGTTTGTGCTGTAGATATGTCATAAATGAAGAAATTCATTGTCTAGATAATTTATACAAAAGCAAGACTTTATCATTTTGATTTTTATAACACTGTGTTTTGATGATTCACATGATACAAAAACTATGAATTCAGTTTATTTAAGTTTACCAGTGCTTGGCTTGTAAATTGAATGTAATTGAAGGTAATATACACTGAAGTTATATATTTAATAGTATAGAAAGACAAGCATATGAGCTGTAAGTTCCAAGTGACTCAAAATGTGCTGTCTTGTGAGAATGTCTCATTTTGCTTCTGATAAACTGATATCAAAGCATCATACTCAGAGTAAAAACTAACTTGTAACTGGCTACTTCATGCAGAAGAAGTGAATGATCCAGTCACATAAGGTTGCTGAGCACAAGTTGGCCTTAAAAGCTTGACTACAGTGCCATGCATGTTTAAAATTGACTGCTGCCAGGAACACCTACTCCAAGGCAGTCACTAGGCAGTATCTGTCAAAGTACTCATAGTAGATTTCAGTCTCTAGGAATTTCCAGAAGCTTCAATTTCCTCTTGGTTTGTTTTGCATCTTGTCACAAATACTGGATGCAAGACCTGGCATTTGTTATATCTCAAATATATTGAAATCAGTGCTGAACCACCTTTCAAATTGCATACATATTATTAATATCCAGTCCAAAAGAAACTTCACAAACTGTATAGATAGATTTTGGACCATAATAATCGTAATTCTGTTTCTGAACCCATTTTACTTCATGTACCTTACTAATAAACAGACTCTGAGTGTACATTTGTCTCACATCAAGATGAAAGGAAGCAAATATGGAAGTTTTTGTCATAACAGATTTTAATTGAATAGATTGAATACAAATTCTTGACATAATTTATTACAGTTCATTACCATCAATACATGTTCACTAACTTGTGTTCTTAGTATATCTGTTTCTCCTTGTAAGCTATTAGCAGTGCTTTCTGTATGTAATTGTGATTTGCAAGTCAGCCTCTACCACACAATTTGTCTTCATAATTATAATTCGAAGTGCTGACCTATCATCATGATGTCCTGACTTGTGTATTTGGAACCATATTAGTGATGAAGATGGTCATTGCTGTAAAACCCTCTTGGGTGGTGAGCTGCATCTTTGCTGGCAGCTGGTAGCCTGAGAGTTTTAGTGTGAACATTGATGAAGCTGATTATCTGAGAGAATTTTGATGCATGTATGCTGCAGAATCTTAAGAAAATCATTATCGCTGCCATTTATACTGCTGGGCATAGTTAAACCAACATTCTTGCTGCAGTTGCTAGATAAGTTGAGCTGCCACTAGGGGCTCTGGGGTGAGGAATGGTGGATGTGAGGACACTGTGTACACTGTTCTGTTCTACTCTTCAACATAAATACATAGTACCTACAGTATTTTAACAGTACTGAACAGAGGAACAGTAGATAGATTCTTTATATTAAATGAACGCCTGCCATGCAAAACTGAGATGCTTTCCACAGAAATAGGCTGATAATATAGGATATTACAGGCATTACAAATTTTCTTGTGTGTGTCCACTACACCTCTTCCTTAAACAGCAAACTAGCAACATTTCCAACAGAGTTACATAGTCAGATAGGAATCTGCAGTAAATGGTATCACTTTCAGTAGTTCACTTTATAGTCGTGATTGAGTGTCAAATTTTGAACGTGCTTGCACTATAAATTTGTGTTTCTTATTTCTAATGCATTAAAAACTCAAGGTTTCCTTCTGCTACCAAGATGGCTGAGTTATTTTGATTATACTTTTGGTGTGTAGCTGAACCATATTTCTTGTTTTTCTTGATTTGAATGTGCTTATATATATATGTATGTTCATTCTTAGTAACAAATCCTCAATAACTGTTCAGTGTAGTCCATATTTTGATTTAATATGATCACCAAGTTTAATGTTCAGTGATCAAGGTTAACTCTTTTTCTGATGTCCCCAACTGAGTGTCTCCCACTCACCTGAGGATGGAAACAGATTTTCTGAAACGTTGTGGTCTTTTGAGTAGCAGACGATATACAAAGGCCAAAATCCGGAGTGCTAAGATTACTGTCTTAAAATATTCTCTTAGGAATGTGACCCCCCACTTTTAACATTGGATACTCCAAAAGAAAAACTCTTCAATTTATGCATATTACTGTGCTTTCAAAGAGTGTAACCAATTTGTAAATCAGGACGTATCAGTACATACCTTTGACCCTAATGTATAAAAGTGAGTTTAATATTTGTCTGAGAAATCTATTTAGCATTGTCTCTGGTAACTTCTCAGATTTGTTCCAAAATGTAAGGGTAGACATAAATTCTTCTTTTATGGTAGTGTTTTATCATGGTTTAAACTAGTATTTTGCTTGTTGTTGAAGATACTTACATTGAAGTTGTAATTTTGTTACAGCTTATTCATGTGTTAATGTTCCATTATTTATTTAGGTGGTCACAACAGTTCCATTCCTCTTGAAGCACACATTGAGAGAATATCAACATATAGGTCTCGATTGGTTAGTTACAATGTTTGATAGAAAGCTTAATGGAATTTTGGCCGATGAAATGGGGCTAGGAAAAACCATCCAAACGATATCACTTCTGGCTCACTTAGCTTGTGAAAAAGGTAAGGAATTAGGATCTGTTTACTGTGATAACAGAATGTGACCTTCTTCACTCTGTTACTCAAATTATGGGTCATGGTTTCCTGTTGAAGGATAATAATGGAACTATGAGGGCTATTTGGAAAGTAACATCAGGTGGGCTGTTAACAAAACAAGCATTGAAGAAAAAAATTATTGTATACAGAAATACATACATGCTTAACCTTTAAATGACTAAAGACACCGTATGTCGTCGCAGATATAAAGGCAGCGGTACGAATGACGCCATGTGGTGTCGCAAAGTCCGCGCGTGCGGACGTTATTTGAAATACATTTTTAAGGTAGAAAATAATGTCCTACTTATATAATTTTTGGCCACCATCTGCATGGAGTGTCTGTCTTCCCGCCTGCATCATCTGCCGGAATGTTGCCTTCGTGTGGAATTCTCAAAAAATCCGGAAATGCAGAGTCCGATTTCGCAATTCACGCACTTTGTCCGGGCGGTCTTTCGTGTCCCACGCGAAAAGCACACACGACACCTCAATTGCGAAGTATAGCAAGTCGGCCAGTGATGTGGTTTGGCCTTCTATAGTCGAGATATCTCCCATAAAACGGCAGGGGTTCGACCCCTGGCCGTTGATGGCGAGGGGGACCCCTAACAGCATGTTCCGCACAAGAGCGAGACGAAATTCTCTGTGTGACAACAGGATGTAACTGTTCAGACCAAGGAGATGGAGAAATAGCTTATTTGTCCATTTCCAGGTTCGACGACAGATGCTATAACTGTTTGCCACAGTTTGCCCACAGCTCCATCTGAATAATTATTCACACTCCTCGTGCCACGCTGGTGTCGTGCTCCCCAGGTTGCCGACGAAGATTATGGGTCTTCTTCGAAATCACTTTATGATTTGCTACCTTCAACGTCACTCTCAGAATTGTCGGTACAGGATTCTGTATCGGAGGCATTGATTAGCTGCAATATGTCAGAATATCCCAAACGACACGGACCACATGTTACGAACGAAATTTGAAATTACTCTCGACTGAACACGTCCAGCCACTAAGCTATTACGCTGTGTTAGTACGGCAACGGCAACGCATGCATAAAGAATGCTAGCATTGAACTGTAGAAGAACAGTATACGTATTGTTCAGGAGAGATTTATAAACAACACGTGAGTTTATATCTCTCTTCCACTGACCACATTCCAGTTGAAGTTCGTCACATAGACTGCGATAACGTCTCTAGACACAACATCCGCTCTGTTACCATTACTTGCACTAAGTGTCGTCATCAAGCAGATGGCATTCAGGGGTGTCCAAAACGTATGAATTCTCGCAGAGAAGGAAAAAAATTGGCAAATTTCTTTTTGGAGTCAGTGCAAAAATTTTAACATGTTTTATACAATCTGTAAATTACAATATCTGATTCTATATTCTTTCGAGAAAAAAACAGCGTTTATTTCGTTCGATTATCACAGAAATAGCAGAAATAGGAGCAAAATTAGTAAGTAACTTACAGCTTTTACGGATTTCTAAGAGCGGCCCTTTAAATAATTCCGTACCGCTGCCACAGCCTAAGTTTAAAGGGCAGTAGGATAAAGGTTAAGCTACTTTTCAACATAGTCACTGGTGAAATTGAGGCACTTATCATATTGGGGAATGAGTTCTTGTATACCTATGTCAAAGAAGTGTGCCACCTGTGAGCTCAGCCACCTGTAGAGACCTTCCATCAGCTCCTCATTATTCCTCAGGTAGGTAAACAGGTGGTAGTCGCTCAGCTCAATATCAGGGCTGTGAGGAGGGTGGTCAGACAACTCCAGTTCAAATGCTCCAGCAGTGCTCAAGTGCTAGCATCCGTATTCAGACATGCATTGTCATGGAGGTGCACTACACTGGATGTCAGCACTGAATGGCTGACCTTATGCATTTTTTTTAATTTGGTTTGCTGTACACTTGTGCCATTGTGGTCCCTTGCTGCATAAATTCCACCATCAGCACTTTTTTCCTATCCCAGAGAAGAGGTGCCATCAGCTCTCTGATAGGCGGACAGTATTTCTTCAAACTTTTTTTGGCTTGTTTGCTGAATGTGTGTTCATTCACTGCGTTGACTGCTTTTTGGTTTGAACTTTCAAAAATGAAACGCAGATTTCATCACGTGTTGCTTGTATGATGTGATTGAGAAATTCATTGCTGCAAAGAAGTCAAAGGTGGAAGCCATTCTTTGCATTTTATGTGCAGTGCTTGTAATTTGTGGAAATTCACACAAAAGTTCTAAAATTGTGAAGTGCTGTCTTTCACAAATTTTTTGGTCAACACTTTGAACAAGATCATCGCTCACTACAGAAGGCTGGCCAACTTGTTCTTCGTCGTGAACATTCTACACAATTGTCCTATAGCTCCTTCACTCATTACATTTTGACTGTAAACCACTGCGCATAATTCATGACCGATTTCCCCGGCTGGCCAGTTTATAAATTACAGGACACATGATAACTCACTCTCCAAAGGCAAGAACAAATACTAGGTGACCAGTTATGTAATGGTTTACAAGGCAATGAGTCATATGACATTACCTTGCATGTGCAGGCTCTTCCACTAGTTGCGTAAAATGAATGGAGGTTATTTTCCAAATAGCCCTTGTATAAAACCTAGAAGTATTTAGTACTTAATCTTTACAAAATATCATGGCCACTTTTCTGAGTGACAGCTTTATTATTTTTGAAACTAAAACTAATGAAATGAAGTACTAAAATTTCTCTAAGCAAAGAGATGTGAAATATATCTTGCTGATACTGAAGTTCATATGTGATATATAATCATGAGTGATATTGCAGTTGCAAGAAAAACTGTAAGGTTGAATTTGACCCGAACTTTGTGCATTGGCTTGAAGAACTAATGTTAAGTTTTACTCCTGTTTGTATATATTATTAAGTCTTGCAAGCATACTTCATGATATTGAAATCCCAGTTTCATATTTCTCAAAAGTAAAAGACTACAGTCCTGTGTAGATTATAATGATCCTGGCCCAACCTTCATGTGATGTAGCAAGTCCATGCACAGAGTAAACTCAGTAGAGCAGTGTTTTCAAATTTTTATTTGATCATCAGAAGTGTGGCAAGCCAAAGCAACAGAGGACAGATGAGAATAGGCCTACAGCCAGAAACATTGTGATAATGGGATGGAACTTGCAACATGTCTGGCTGATATTCGACAGACTCTTGGTGTTTTGAGGAGGATGGTATTGAGCAGTGTTATGAGGGATCTTCATATTTCAGCAGGACTTTGAAAGGGGTAGTTTACAGTTACAAGCAATTTCCCATTCTGTTATTGTGATCACTTCGGATGGTATTGTAGAATGATGTTCTTGATAATTTACATATGAATACACTGCATGCATTATTTTGATTTAAAGCCTCCTCCTGATCTGTTATATTATATTTAATTCAGTGTGCACATGCCTAAAACTGTTCTGTAATGACAATTTCCAGTTTGTGAAGTACTTCTCCAATTGTTCCCCAACTTTTAACTGTGCTTCCAGAATTGCCATTTGATCTTTCAGTATGATAAAGAAGGCGGCACCCTGAATATTTCTGCCACTTTATTAACTTGTCACTGATGGCTAGAGTTTTCATTTTTCATCTGTGGGAGAGCAAGAATAACATTTTCAATGATATTAAGGCCACACATGAAGACCAATGTATGATTTAGCCGTCTTTATTGTGCTCCTTGATAAAGTAAAAATCACTGTGTCTCAAAGTTATTTGTGAACAGTCCAGAATTTCTTTGTTTTAGGTAATTGGGGTCCACATTTAATTATAGTTCCCACGTCTGTGATGTTGAATTGGGAGATGGAGCTGAAAAAATGGTGTCCTGCCTTCAAAATTCTTACCTATTATGGCTCACAGAAAGAACGGAAACAGAAACGCACAGGTACATCTCTTTCTTTCTTTTTCTTCTGAACAATATGTGAACCTTTCCATTCGAAGAGGAGCAGGTTATCATAGTAGCTTCTCCACCAACAGGAAAGGAGAGTAACGTGACATTACAAACCAGTTAAGATAATTAATGAGTTGATTGGATTTCATGTCACTACAGACAAAAGTTATAATATAATTTTGTTCTGCAGAGGTATGTGTAATCAAGTTTCAGAACTTTATTTTATATAACTGGCTTTCATTTCCACAAAAATGTATTGTAACAAATGTCATTTTTGAGCTGGTACATAATTTACTTTAAGCTCATTATTGTCATCAGCTCTTGCATCCAGTGCCACTTTCTCACCCACGTAACTAATCATTTGATGCATGATTGTATACGTAATACTTCTGTATAGGTTTGTTCTTTTGTCAGTGGTTGGTTATAACAGATGTGTGTTGATGGGACTTTCTTCATTCTAAGGTAGTGTGTGACAGCATTATTTACAGATATGTATATTACTATATTATATTTAAGCATCCTGTTGCACTCTATACGATAAATGATATAATGATACAAACTCCGTCCCAAGTGCAAACAATATCTTATGTGTCCTTGATCTTGCTCCCTTACACTACATGTTTCGGCCTCAGACGGCCATCATCAGGTGTATAACACTCACATTGCTGTCACACTGCACCCAGCCCAAAATTTAACATTTAAAAACACTTTCCTTGTTATTATCAACATCTACTTCGTTGATATCTGTCTGGTTTGTAGATTATTTTACACACGTTAATTTTGACTTTCCTGTAGTAGCACTATAAAATCTTTAGTTCTAATTACACGTAGTAAAGAATAGCAATGGCACGCACACAGGAAGACTACACAGAATAACACCTATAAAATTAGAACTAAAGATTTTATAGTGCTACTACAGGTATGTCAAAATTAACGTGTGTAAAATAATCTACATCCAGACAGATATCAACAAAGTAGATGTTGATAATAACAAGGAAAGTGTTTTAAATGTTAAATTTTGGGCTGAGTGCAGTGTGACAGCGACATGAGTGTTATACACCTGATGATGGCCGTCTGAGGCCAAAACATGTAGTGTAAGGGAGCAAGATCAAGGACACATAATATATTGTTTGCACTTGGGACGGAGTTTGTATCATTATATCATTTATGCATATTACTGATTTCTGAAGGTTGGCATTAAATTTTGCACCCTATAAACAGTGGACCTCAGGAATGTTGTGTGGTAGATATCATTGAACACATAGGATGTTTTTTTCTTCCCCCAAAAGGTTTCTTCTTCAAGGGGAAGCAACCCCAGAGATGTGCTGGATGGTCATGTACATAACAAATTTAGTGATGTGTTGCTGTGTTATTTTCTCAGGTTGGACCAAACCAAATGCATTCCATGTATGCATTACGTCTTACAAACTGGTCATCCAGGATCATCAAAGTTTTAGGCGTAAAAAGTGGAAGTACCTTATTCTGGATGAAGCACAGAATATTAAGAACTTTAAGTCACAGAGGTGGCAATTGCTGCTCAATTTTCAGACACAAAGGTAACATTTTTAACACTGAAGTACTGAATAGCATGAGCAGTAAATGGAATGCGGTACATCATACAGTGAATAAAATTTGTAAGCCTGCAGCATTTTAGAGAAAAAGTAAATAAATAAAAGATAGCATACATTTCAAAAGATGGTAATGTGGTGATTACTGTTTAGTACAGTGTAGTTATTCATTTATCGAACATGAGTATTTTAAAAATGTATTATGATTTTGAAGCCCAAGTTTTCTTCTGTTTGAACTCATTCTTTGCCTGTGAACATGGTAACCATTCTTTCTTATAAATACAAGAACAGTGTCACACTGTGATATAAAATATAACTATTTTTGAATAGGGCAGTGATTCTCAAACAGAGTGAGGCACCCTTGATGTGAGTAAAATTGTTTTGAGGCCTCCAGCCTTTAAAAATGGCAAAATCTGATGAACTGTAATGGTATCTCTGAAGTACTTTTTCTATTCACTTGTATGTGTCTCATTTAATTTGGCCATTTAGGATTTCAATTAATTAACATGTTTGTTATTTGGCCTCTGTGGTCTAGTGGTCAAGAGTTCTTGGCTACAGATTAAAGAGGTCTGTGTTCATTTCCTGGCGTTACCAGATTTTTTCTGAGCAGTAGTGGGTCTGGAATGGGGTCTACTCAGCCTTGTGATGATAATTGAGGAGCTATTTCAAGGAAATAGCGGCTTTGGTGTAGAAAGGCGAAATTAACAGCCTTGGGGATTTGTTGCGCTGACCACTCGACACCCTCTATCCGCTAAAGTTGGCACTAACTTCGCCGACAAGTGGCAGTTGCTTGGTTGGTATAGTTTGCTTGTGGACTGAAACCACGGAGTTTGTTTGTTGTTATTTGCCAGTTTTGGGGTGGGGGGACAGAGAAAGTCTCCTACTTTTGGAAATGCTGCTGTAGGATTAGGAAGTTTGTCTTCATGTGGTTGATGCTGAAAAATATTACACGCTTGATTCCTTCCTAAGACTGGTTTTACTGTGATAAAGCCGTTGCTATTTGAATCAATACAACACACTTCTAGTAGTTAACGCTCTGAGATGTTATAGGATTATAATGAAACATGTGTCAGTCTAGCATCTGGTGATAATTGTATCAGTACAGTCCCATTAAGGTTAAGGCAACTGCGGTTTATTGTTTTTGATTATGATTAAAGCATTTATTATCTGGTGGCTTTTGAGTAAGTATCATTATGATAGTAGCTCCTGTTTATTAAAGGACTGTATCAATTTGGGGCAGGGGGGAGGTACAGTATATGCCATTATGAATGTGTGCATCATATTGAAATTGGTGTATCTGTCAGTGGTGACAGCTTTTGTTTCATTTCATCAGAAGTGGGTTGCTCTTATTGTCAGTGTAGTGTAGGATGTGGTATGTTGCAATTGGAAGTAAAAAAGAGAAATGGTTAATTAAAAAATCTGTATAAAAATAATTAGCCCATGACTATGCATTACTTTAATGGAAAATGCCTTCAGCACATTTATTCCCCTAATTTTGCCACCAGTATCATCACATACATCTTTGCTGGGACTTGTAAGATTTTGTCATTGCGTATATACTCCACGACTGTCTGTATGATGGCATTAATTTACAACTTTTTTGGTTCTGACATGACCACATAGATTATCTGTATACAAAATATAAGCCCATTCATTATCTAATATTGCCAGATTTCCAGAATCACTGCTACTGCCTTGTTGGGCTTCCAAATTAGAAAGAGGCATATATAAATAGACTGCAATGTAATCTCATAAGCATCCTTTTATTTTTTCAAAATAAGGATAGTAGGCTAAAAATTAAATTAGGCCTATGAGATCACCTCGCTGTCTGTATGTATGTGTCTCCTCCTCTTATCATTGCTGGTCAGTGGGTTGGCAAACATCTGTAGCAACAGATACGCGCAACAACGAAGAAATGTTGGACATGTCATTTTCTGTGTGGCCTGTTGTATCAGGGTAAAGTTGTGTGTCTGCATGTATCCCTCTTACCAGTACTAGGTAGCGGCTTATTAAACATGTTCGCTCAGCAACGAATGCACACGCAACAATAGAAGAATTGATAGATGCATCGTTTTCTGTGTGGTCCATGTCATATCAAAAGAAAGTAGGCATTTTTATCCCTAGACTTTTGTTTCTTACAAAATAAGAGAATCTTTTCCATAACAAAACAGTTTGGCTGTGCAGGTTGTATTGTCTTCTGGAGGTTACTGTACAGGAACTTGAGGTCCTCCTGCTGTAGAAGTTCCTGCAGAAATTCCTGTTTCTGGTCTTGGTTTTCTCCTCCTCTTCTAGTGACATCTGTTGAAGAGTTGATACCTTGGTGTTTGAACAGGTTGAACAGTACAAAGGGTCAATATTCCTGCCACATATTGGATCCAGCTCCTGATCTCTTTGTCTTAACATGAAATACTGTGCTGTGGTATTTGTTACTTCTGCCCTCTGGCCAACATGTTAGGAGAACGTAGGGGAATGTAGTGGGCAAACATGTTTCAGTGTAACATGCTGGTCTGCAGCTGCTATTCTAACGAGAAATATATGCCATACTTAATGCGGTACTTGGAGACATGCAGCAAATAAATCAGAATTTTCTACGACACTATAGTATAGCTGTAACAACGCCCCGATACGACACTTCAGAGTATTTCAGACAGCGTTGACTTGTCTCACTGTCCATATTTAATGCAGCTGTTCCAGATGTTCAGTATAAACCAGTGTCATATTCTGTCATCACCATCTTCACTCACATGCAAACTGCTGTCACTGTCAGAACTATCATACCCCACATGCCCAGCAGTATCCTGATACTGATCTGATTATGTCTGAGTTTACTGTCATTTGCTGATCGAAGCAGATTTCTCATGCACTGACTCGATCATGTCTTCATTCTGAACAACAGTTCCCAATTTACAACCCATTATTTCTTACCAGTTGCCCATATTAATTTGATTGGATTCACTTGTGGGTGATAAGATTGTGGCCACAAGCCAGAATGACAGTGTTCAGTCAGAATCCAGTCTTACGGGTAGAATACATGCACATGTGTGTTTTTATTAATTTGTACAAATTCGGCTTACATGTGTCTTATGCGTCAGATCATTTTATTGTATAGCCATGATATCACAGTGGTTTTCTCTGCATTCGGTAACGGAGCTGGATGGTTCTAAACATTGTGCTATGGAGCGTTATCCATTAACAAAACACTCCATATGGATAAATTTGGAATTAGCCTGCCTGTTTGCTACTTCAAAAAATCTTTGTTATTCCTATTGCTGTTATGATCTCCTGTAGTTGGATGGGATTTGGAACTAATGTATGCATTAGGAATTAAACTGTGTTCTCTGCCAGAAAGTGTTTGTTCAGGAGCAAGCAGCCAACTGATGGAATTATCTCTGCAGATGAATGGCACTGAGTGAGATCCATGGATGTATGTCTCTTCAGTAAGAACTGTTGGTGCTTCTGTACCTTACTGTGCTCTTCAGTACAGTACCCTCAGATGTCGGTTATTGTGGTGTTCCATGAGAACTTGTTGATTCTTTGTTTTTGTCCATCAAAAATTTAACCACATTAGTACTACTCTTAATGTGTACAGGCTCCCTGTAATTGCAGGTGACTGTACCAACTTCACATGGATTCTTCCTCAGCAGTAGTCTTTACTTTGTGATGTAAAAGTCATTAATATTTCTATGAATAATACAGTCATTACAGTTGTTTAGTGTTGATTTAGGAGATGATATTGTGACATGTGGCCTGAAACCTGCAACTTGCCCATCTCCTGGGCAGGGCTTTGCGAAGAACATTCCCATGGTAACACAAAATGCACCATTACTCTGGGTTTTGATGGAACTGTTGAAGACATATCCATGGTAACGACTTCTAAACAGATATCTCCTATGCACTGCATGCAGAAACAGGCAGTTAGATTAGATACGCGAAGTAGGAACCCTTGGAGATGGCGATCCGTATTCGGTACACCAGGCAGATGTAATGTAGCAGCAGCAAAGGCAGAGAAGAGCAGAACTGAACACAATTACACAGAGTTGAGCAGAATTCGTGAAGACCAGAGGTGGCAAGATCCAGACAACTGCAAGGGATTCGTTATTCAGAAGGAATTAAATGAGCAAACTGTTACAGTCGAGTTAATTGTGATAGTGGCGTCAAATAAATCCAGTCATTAACTCTAGAATCCACAGTTATTCGCCATGCTACCCCTTAAACATGACAGTACTAATGTGAACGAAGTGAGTGCTTTAGATCAGTGGTTTTCATTTGTTTTGGTATTCGTCTAACAGGTCTCTCATACTCCTGTTGCACCTGCTACTCATTCTGGGTTTTCATGAGTTTCTTGGCCGCAGATTCTTGTCCTTGGCTGTGAATATCTTTGCTTTGCAGTTTACTTTGAATAGGTTGCCTCTTAAGAGCAACCACATGTTTTTCTCTAAGATCATGTCAGAACATGACAGTGTCAGCAGTACAACCTCATTTGTGTATGTCTGCAACACACATGCAAATTTGGTGTAGGTAAGTTCTGTTATATGACTTTTTGCCCTGTGCAAGTTTTATTCACTTTCATTTATTTTAAAGGCTGTGTTAATATGTACGAGTATGTAAATGAACATTTATATAATAAAGTCTTTTTCACTCTTTTCACAGATTTTCATGAAATTTGCTGTATGATGTGTTCCATTTTATGTCTAAATTATGGAAAGACCTGAATACAGTATTGGGCACTTTTTAGAGAATGTTCACTTCAAAGGAAAATAATCCTCAGTAAAAGCTATGCCGATACAATGCTGATTCTAAGAAAATCATTGTTTAATAACACTACCTGTTAACAAGGAAAGTCTATTCATATTGCCCTACCCTTTACCTGGTCTCCACTTGATTTACAATACATAGCAGTGGATAAGAAGGTGATAGATACGAGTAAATAATGGATCAAATTACTTTGAAGGCAATATTTACCTGTTGTGAATAGAATGTGAAATCACAGTCCACCTCAGTAGGGTTCAGAGGGGGTTAACTACTGGGTCTGTTGACAAATTCTGGCATTCTCTGTCATAAGCTTGAAGTAGCTGTAGTCAGATTGTGTATTGTGTTGATTTTTCACAGGCGTTTGCTGTTGACTGGCACACCCCTGCAAAATAATTTGATGGAATTGTGGTCTTTGATGCACTTTCTGATGCCCAATGTGTTCCAATCACATCGAGAATTTAAGGAGTGGTTTTCTAATCCAGTGACTGGAATGATAGAAGGAAACTCAGAATATAATGAGAGCCTTATTAAGCGCCTGCACAAGGTTAGCGTATATTGTTACAGACTTATATTTGGAAGCAGTGTCAACAGATGAAGAAGTTTTCTTTGTATTAATTTTTGCATATAATGAAAATATGATTAGTTTCTTTTATTTTACAAGCAAGAACCACACAGTAATCTAATTTAATGTGTTATCTATTGTGTGATGCTACCATTCATCCATAACCATCTGTCTTCTCGTCTGCTGTCTCGAAACATATACAAATATACAATATACATATAGAATATACAAAACTAATTTTGCATGTGGTTCTGTATGAGTATGTATATAACAACAAAATTATTGCTAGTACTACCGAACTAAAGTTTCTTGGGCTAGTACTTCACAATACTATGTCTTGTAAGAGTCACATTGATATGTTGGCTTCCAAATTAAACAAAGCGTGTTATATTGCAAGAGCAGTCAGGCCTTTCTAATCAATAAATTACCTAAAGACAATCTATCCTGCTTATTTTCATTCAGTTATAACATGAGGATTCATTTTCTGGGGAACTTCTTCCCACAGTACGAATATTTTCAAACTCCAAAAGCGAATGGTTGCAAAACCCAGGGATTCTTGCAGATTTTTTTTTTTAAATTTTAAATATACTACCTTAGCATTGCAGTACATTCTCTCCTTGGCTCTGTTCATGGTTACCAATAAATCACTGTTTAGACAAAATTCTGAAATTCATAATTTTAATACCAGGAATAATACTAATTTTAAAATTTTAAATATACTACGTTAGCATCGCAGTACTTACTCTCCTTGGCTCTGTTCATGGTTGGCTGGTTAGTTAGTTATTGGATAGGGTGGGTTCCCCATGCACTTAGACCTGTATTGGTCCATTGTGCTTCCCTCTATGATTTCTACCAGTCTCTATATCCTACCTGTACTGGTGCTTACCATCAGTCCCGCCCAGCCAGCGAGACCGGCTCTACTAGCTGAGAGGTATCTATGATGCTTCCCCCATCTACCAGAGGTATTAGAGACTGCTGTTGGGCGGGAAACGTCCGTAATTTGGCTCAGTGACCTCCTTTGGAGATATGAGGTTCTTTTACGTGCCGTAAAGCTACGACACGGGACCCACGGCTTAAAGTCCCTCCCGGAGGACTTGTTCCCTGAATTTTTCCGCCCTTAAAAATTCGACGACCTCCGCCNCTTGCAGATTTTTTTTTTTAAATTTTAAATATACTACCTTAGCATTGCAGTACATTCTCTCCTTGGCTCTGTTCATGGTTACCAATAAATCGCTGTTTAGACAAAATTCTGAAATTCATAATTTTAATACCAAGAATAATAATAATTTTTTTCAAGTAATGACTCACTTGACGATGTTTCATAAAAGTCCCACCTACGCAGGCATTAAGATATATAACCATCTCCCAGCTGATATTACCCCTTTCGCGCGGTTATTTAAATTCCGCTGCTGTGTCTCTCCGGCGGTAATATATTCAGCCGGCCATTTAAATTTTGCTCGAAAATGATTTATTCATCATTGTTCTTAAATTATATGAGATAGGAACATGAAACTTTCACTAAAATGATCTTAAAAGGTG